CAAGGATGTCCAAACTGATGGTAAGGATTTGGTTACCAATGAGAAGAGAGGGGAAGGAAACCTCCATGTTGTGCAAGTTTTGCAAGATAATAATAGTCCAGAAAGACAGAGTAAAATTAAGAAGGTGGATTTCCTTCCCAGTATCAGGAAAATAAAGTCACTTGCTCCTAAGTAGGGGTCTCCTAGAGTTTCTTGGCTTGGTTTGCCAAAATATGCTCGGGTCACTGGATCCAGGGTCAGAAAGTTCTAGTCTCATCAGAGAAAGAATTTAAGGACGGACACAGAGGAGACTTAAGCAGGAGCAGGCTTATAAATTCAAAACAGAGTGAAAGCAAAGCAAAAGTACACCCTCCATAAAACAGGTCTCTTCTGGGAGTGGATACCGTGCACACGCGCGCAAGTGTGTGTGTGTGTGTGTGTGTGTGTGTGTGTGTGTGTGTGTGTGTGTGTGTGTAAGGGGTGGGCATAAGGAAAAGGAGAATTAGTGTGAATATGGTGGATGTATTTTGTATTCAAATATGAAAACAGAAGAATGAAACCTGTCAAAATTGTTCTAAGAAGGGGGAGGAGTCCAAGAGGAAGAACCAAGGAGAGGGTAAAACTAACTAAGATATATTGTAGCACATATGTAAATATCACAATGTATTTCTCTATACAAATATTATATGCTAATAAAACAAAACCAACCAAACAAAAAGAGTGCACTCTCCAAATGGGAGGGTTGGCAGGTTCAGGAAGGGGCATTGCCCTGGAAATGCTGGGATGTCAAGCTTTTACCGAGGTTTGCAGACACAGACATGGTCAGTACTAGAAAACCGGTCATGTGTCATTAGCTTTTGGAGCCTGGGCTACGTGTCATCAACTCCTCCCACGTCAGGAAAGGGAGTTTCCTTGGATGATCAGACTGGAGGTGTCATTTTCTGTAGCTGCAGGGACTGAGGGTCAGGAAGGCCCTGCTGTATGTCACAAGCCATTCTGTTAATGTCAGAAGTCTAGGATTGCTTCTTTATCAATATCCAAGCCATCCTTCTCAGCCATCAAGTCTTCTAACTCCTTGCCTGGCCCCCCTAAACCACTGTGCAGACTAAATACATTCAAAATGGCGCATATACACTCATGAATATTATTCAGCTTTAAAAAGGAATGATAGTCTGGCATGTTCTGTAACATGAATGAATCAGCTTTGAAGACATTAAGGTAAGTGAAATAGGCCAGCCACAAAAGAACAAATATTGTCTGTTGCACTTGCACAAAGCACCTTAAGTAATCAAAGGCATTGCCAGGCATGGAGGATCACAAGTTTGAGGCCAGCCTGGGCTACATAGCAAGAGACCAGGTCTTATGAAAAAAAAAAAATCATAGAGACAAAGTGCAGTGGTGTTTGCCAGGAACTGGAGAGTCATTGTTCAATGGGTATGGAGTTTCAGAAAATAGTTCTGGATACAGATGGTGGTAGTAATTACACAACAATGTGAAGCTAATTAATGCCATTGAACCGTATACTTAAAAATGGTTAACAGTAAAATTTGTGTTACTGTATGTTTTACCACAACAAAAGCTGGTTAAAAAATAGGGAAATTAATAAAGAATATTTCAGCACCCCCCACTTGACTATATCTTTCCAAAATCTCTGTAAGTACCCATATCCATGTGTAGTTTACTCCATTTTATAAGTTATCTAATTAAACCAAGAGACAAGCATCTACCTTACCCTTTTTTAGGAAAGAGCTTTACAGGAAATTTACCTTTTTCTTTGCGGTAGACTTTGGTTTTAAGACGTGTACATATTTGTGTAACCATCACCAAAATAAGGATACAGAATAGTTCCATTACTCCTCAAATGTTCCCTGTGACACTCTAGAGTCACACTATCCACGACACAGCATTTCTGGAAAACTACTGCTTTGTTCTCCCTACCATCTTATCTTTTCTAGAACATATAGGAAATTCCAATATGTAACTTTCTGAAAGTTACATATGGAAGCTGTTGCCTGTATCAATAGTTCATTGTTTTTAATACTGAGTAGTGGTATTATACAAATATACACAAATATACCACAGTATTGTTGATCCATTCAACCGTTCAGGGACATTTGGGCAGTTTCCAGTTTCTGACGCTTGTGAACAGAATGGCTATACAAGTTTTTGTGTAAACATAGCTTTAATTACTCCAGGGTAAATATAAAGTGAGGGGTTGCTGGGTTATAAGGTAGGTATATGCTTACCTTTGTTAGAAATTACCAATTTGTAATGGCTGAAACATTTTGCATTCCCATCACAATGCATAAAAGTTCAGCTGCTCCACATCCCTACATCCTTGCAAGAATCAGTTTGTCTATATCTAAAAAGATCCTGGTAGGAATTTGATCAAAATGGATATATTTATTTGGTTTGTACAAGCAGTGAACATGTTACATCTCTCATTTTATAGCATTTTTTAGCCTTCATTATAAACATCCTGCACGTTTTACTAGGTGTAAGCATTGCATTTTGGGGGGAGCTATTATAAATGGAGTTTTGTTTTAAATTTCAGCTTTCAAAGTTCTTTGTCTATAAAAAGAAACTGACTTGTGTGTTGACATTGTATCTTATACAACTGCTAAACTCCTAGTTTAAGGTTTTGGTTTTGTGTGTGTGTGTGTGTGTGTGTGTGTGTGTGGTTCTGGGGTTTGAACTCAAGGCTTCAAGCTTGCTAAGCAGGCACTCTACCCTTGGAGCCACACCTCCAGTCCTCTTTGGGATTTTCTATGTAGCTAATCATGGTCATTTGTGAATAGCAACATTTTTATTCCTTTCCAACCTGCATGCATTTTATTACTTTCTCTTGCCTTATTTTGACTGCTGGGTTTTCCGGTATGAAACTGAAAATGTTTTAAGTGGTGAAAAAAGACATCCTTGTCTTATATCTGATTTTAGAGGGAAAGTGTCTCTTTTTTATCATAAGTACATTAGCTATAGCTGAGATTTTTTTCCTCAGTCATAAATGGTAACCTTTTTGAGACAGGGTCTTGCTGTGTAGCCTTGAACTCTTGATCCTCCTGCGTTAGCCTCCTGAGTTGGGATTACAAAATCTGGCTATAAACTATAAATGGTTAACTTTTATCAAATGTTTTCTCTACGCTGATACGATCATGAGATTTTTTTTTTGTGTTCTGCAGTTTCTTTTGGCAGTACTGGGATTTGAACTTGGGACCTTGTGTTTGCTTGGTAGGTGTTCTACCACTTGAACCATGCTCTAGCCCCTACAGTTTTCTTAAACTGTCCTTGTCAGATTTTGATATCAGGGTAATGCTGACACCAAATGAGTTGGAAACTATCTTATCTCTTGTTTTCTAGAGGAGATCATATACTATTGGTATTTTTATTCTTGACGTATTTGGAAGAATTCATCAATGAAAGCATCTCAGCCTGGAATTTATTTTTCAGTAGTTTTAACTATAAATTCAGTTTAATATTTACATCACTATTTATATTGCTTATGCCTCTTGAGTGAGTTTTGGTAACAAGGTTCTTGAGGAATTAGTCCACTTTATCTATGTTGCCACATTTATGTACGTTTAGTTTCCCTATCCTTTTATTTTGAACTGGATAAAACTGAAAATGCAACATATCAAAATTTGTGGGATGCAGTTAAAGCAGTGTTCAAAGGGGAATTTATAGTATTAGATGTTTATATTAGAAAGGAAGAAACATTTCAAATCAGTACTCTAAGCTTCCATGTAAATTAAAAAATGAAAAATATGAATCAAATATGGATGAATCCAAAACAAGTAGAGTAAAACTGCAGAAATCAATTCAACTGAAAACAGATTAAAAACAGAGAAAATTAAATCAAAAGTTTATTCTTTGAGAAAATCTCTAAGGTTGATGAACTTATGGTTGGACTAATGAAAATTAAGCCATATCTATACACTGCTTTTATGGTTCCTTGAATCTACTCTACTTGCTTCCTCTTTCACTTAAGATATTTTTATTTATGCCTTTTCTTTTTCTAACAATCTGACTTCCTGCCCCACAAACATCAGCTTTAGGTAACATTCTATAGCTCCTGTTTTTTTTCCTCATCTCCATTCTTGTACACAGAGCCACCAAGGGAACTAACTCTTCCACATTCCCACTAACTGGAGTGGGAACTCTGGCTCCTGTTCATCTCGTGTCCAGCCCACCCCTTCCTTCTGAATCTCTGAATGGAGAAGGTACAAGTTTCTGTGTTAACAAACTCCCAGAGGAACATTTCCAGCTATTCCAAGAACTTCCTTACCTTGCTTTGATTTAATAGAGGCACTACAGTTGGTTTATGCACTTTTGTAGGTTATTATCCACTTACTTCTGATTCTCTTTATAATGTAGACTAATAATACTTTTAATACTTCTCCATCTTTAGATGCTGGTTGTTAAAAACAAATAAAGTTAGAGATAGTTGGGGACAAACTGTGGACCAATATTCTTGCAAATGCCTTTTGTGATCAAGCACTTAGAAACTGAATAAGCTCACTTAATAAAATAACATATAAATGAGTTGCCTAGTATACTATAATCTGTATTATAATAAAAAAAAACTGGGATCTCAACTTTACAGAACCAGAAGGTAGAATGGTAGTTACCAGGAGCCTGGGGAGACAATGGGGAGTTATTTTTTAATGGGTATAGAGTTTGTTTTACAAGTTGAAGATCTGTTGCACAACAATGTGAACAGATTCAAAACTACTATACCCTTAAAAATGGTTAAGATAAGCTGTGAGCCAGTGGCCCACACCTGTAATCCTAGCTGCTTGGGAGGCTGAGATCAGGAGGATGGAGGTTCAAGGCCAGTCTGAGAAAACAGTTTGCAAGATCCCACTTTCAAAATAACCAGAGAAAAATGGACTGGAGTGGAGATGTGGCTCAAGTGGCACAGCACCTGCTTTCTAAGTACAAATCCCTGAGTTCAAACCCCAGTTCCAAAAAAAAAAAGGAAAAATGGTAAAAAAGACAAAGAAAATGTGATGTCTGATACTGGCTTGACAAGATTTTATTTTGTAAGAAAGAAACATCTAGACAATGCTACAGAGAGCCCCTAGTATGTCTACAGTACCATATATAAAAAGACAACTGCTCACAATGACAACACTGAATCACTGAAAGATACCAAAGCATTTTCTGAATCCAAGAAGTCAAATTGTACTTAGAATAGGATTCAATGTCCTTACATTACTTTGATAGTTGGTAGCCAGATAACAAGGACATACAATCATATAGCTTTTAGTGATACATACCTTGGTGATAACCAAGTATTTGGTGACATATAAACTTATTATAGTCATCTGGCATTTTTCCACACAGATATTTAAAATTCCAATTTCCTTTTTTTGGGTGGTACAAGGGTTTGAACTCAGGGCTTCACAATTGCTTGGAAGGTGCTCTACCACTTGAGCCACTCCATCAGCCCTAAAATCTCAATTTCTTGGTCAAGTGACATATTGCTTGAATTCACCAAATATATTTAACTTCTCTATTATACAAACAAATGTAAACTAAACTAGTGTATGAAAAGTGCTCACTATGTTTTTACAAGAACATTAATCTCTGACAAAGATGGTTATGAATGCATTCCATACTAATTATGCTGTTTTTTAAAATCTATATCTAAGTTTTCCCCTCTACATTATAACCTACTTTGTGATTTTTATAAGAAATCTACAGTTCTTCAATTCTCAAATTCTTTTCTTTTCCTCCTTATTTCTTAGCTTAAGTTTAGTATAAGTTTTATCAGTATCTTGAGTTTTGTGCCCATTCTTGTGCCTAACACCATTAGCCTAAAATCCAATATGGGAATTGTGTTAAATTAGTTCCACAAAAAGTATTACAGACATTTTCCCTGAAATATACAGAACATGTCATGCCAAATCTCGTTTATACAATAAACTGGTAACATTGGTGAACTGCATACCTATCTTATATTACCAAAATAGAATAACTTAAATATTAAAACGTACCATTATGTTACCAACATAACTGACCTTACAAGCATAACAAATGGCAATATTCAATACAAAAATCACAAAATCCGCTACTTTAAGTGCTGCATATCACAGCATACAAGCTCATCTCCTCATGACCTATTCAAACTATAGACAGCGTTTTTAAGCTACTCTGGCATTTATACCCTAATTAAAAATTTATACGAAACACAATTCTATGTTCAAATATGGAAATAAGTAACATAATTCCAAAACCCAAAAGTATCCCAGCATTCTGTAAAAAGAAGTATCCCCAACGACTACATCCATGGTCACTAGCATCATTGTGCAGCATCTCAGGTACCTTAAAGGAAAAAATAAAATGGTAACAAATAAGTGTTAGGAGCTATACAATAACTTTTAGAAGAATTTGCAGGACTGCTCATCAGTTTTATTTATAGCAATACATACTATGAGTCAATTCCTTAAAAATGACTACTTGTAATGCTACATAGCATTTCTTAGCAGGATTATTGATGATGTTTTGAGCAGGTAAAAATCTGTCTTAGTCCAGTTTGCTCCACTGTAAAGTGGATAGCTATACTGATTTCCCTGCTTCAGTTACTGCCCACATATGTGGACTAAATATAATAAGCAGCTCACCCCTGGTTCAGAGACAGGAGGTCTTGCACTAAATAAAGTATAATTTTAGCAGTAAGATTGGCCAAGATGGTTATGCGGTATTTGGTGACAAATGGATATAACCCTTTTGTTAATTAATAAGACACTTTTTAACATTCTGAGGTACACACAGCATGCTAAGAATATGTGGCTTGTGTGAGGTTTTCAACAAATTCTATGGCTAATTTGGTGCCTGATCATCAGGATTCTCCTCTAAATAGACACATCAAGAGATGGTATGCATTTGTGTATCCTGATATGTATCAGATAGTATAAAGGTATGCATGTGATCGACTACCCCCAAAAATAAAATTGAAGGGATTTTTGTTGTTGTTGTTGTTTTGCAGTACTGGGGTTTGAACTCGCTCTCACCTTAAGCCACTCCACCACCACTTTTTTGTGATAAGCCTTTTTGAGACTGGGTCTCATGAACTATTTGCCCAGCACTGGCTTTGAACTGCGATCCTCCTGATCTCTGCCTCCTGAGTAGCTAGGTTTACAGGCGTGAACCACTGGCGCTTGGCTAGGGATTTGTGTTCTTATATTCCATCTCTGTGAGTTTAGCATCACTTCTCATCACTGCTGCATTTAATTTAAAAGGATTTGAATTCGGGATCTCACACTTGCTAGTCAGGTGCTCTGTCACTTGAGCCACACCCTCAGCCCTCTAAAATCTTCTTTGAAATGAATTGTTACTGTATTTCCTCTATTTTAGTCAATGTTGTCTGACTTACCATATCAACCAGAGCGACATACATGAATAAGCCAGCAGTAAGTGCAAATATCCACATAGAAACATTTTCAGCATAATGTCCAATGAAAATTCCTGTTGCCATTCCAAGGTATGCCAACATGGCTGATAAAGCATTATAAAGCACAGCCTGCTTAACAGTCATGCCAGCCTTCAGTAAAACAGCAAAGTCACCTTTAACATAAGAGATAAGATAATTGAAAAATGTTTTTAAGACACATACTCCAGAGACCTCAGATTCAAGAAAATTCTCTGATTCTTTTTTTTGGGGGCGGAGGGGCAGAAAAGAAAAAGAAATAATCAAGACTAGAGTGGAATTCATCAGTATAAATCACCTTAACAATTGTATATGCTAAAAAAAAATTTTTATCCAAATTTTCTTAAGGCCTATGCTTTGTCACTGACTGAAAACAAACAACTAGCCTATAATTGTGCTCTTACACTGTTTTCAATGCCTCCTAACTGTTCACAAAGGGGGATGGAGGGAGAGAACATAAAATAATTAAGAGCTACCGAGTACAGTATCTTCCAGTTACATGAGGAGAGATAAATGAGGATGGAAGTGGCTCAGAGAGGCTCCATGGGATCTATAATGGGGAACATAAATGAAATATTGAAGCTTATACAAGCGTTGGCCAGGTATCCTAGACAGGAGGCTTTCTAAATGGCTGAACACATGGCACAGAACAAGCTGAAAATGGTGTCAGGGTGTATATGAAGAAATGTGTCCATAGAAGAAAAACCAATACATGAATTGGGATCCAAAACAACTAGGGACAACCCACTGATTTCCCTTTTCTTCAGCTTCCATCCTCTTTCCCAACTTCCCACTGTTAATGGAAGATGATTCCTTTAAATGCTACCCTCTTATTCATGTATAAAGTGTGCATGAAGACAATCACTGATGATACCAGCATGCTGCACAGAAAGATACTTGGTAGGGGAAAAAGAGAGGGGGCTCAGGTACTTATTTGGCATCCCATGTAGGCAACTATATACTGGTGGGATCAGAATTCTGGATGTAAACAAACCTGAGCCCAATAAGAAAAGAAAGTCAGCTGGGTTAGCAGATTATCTGAAGGCCTGGAAGTTGTGAAGGAGCTTGCTCATTAGCAAAAGCCAGTGACTCAGGGCATTCATTTATATGGCAAAATAATTTATATGGTGCTCTTACCTAATTCATGAGGCAGCTCATGACAGAACACAGCAACAGAAGTACTTAACCCACTTGACAAGCCTTCAGTAAAAGCAGCACCTGTGTAAAAACCAATTAAGAGAGGTTTGGTTACATTATTTTCTGTGTTTTTAAAATCTTGGCACACAAGATAAGATAAAAGAAACACACAGTATTTTGGCTGTGAATAAATACAACCTTCCCAACCTAGCCCTTCTCCCTCTCTTTCTCTCTCTTTTGGTGGCACTGGGTTTTGAACTCAAGACCTCAAGCTTGCTAGCAGATGCTTATCACTTGAACCATGCCTCCAGCCCTCAACTTTTATCTTAATAAGAAACCTAAGATTATATTCCCTTTAGTCTAAATTTCCCAAAGAAGCACAAGCAGGTACAACAGAGAAGGAAAGTTTCAACTATGCCTTAGAGTAACGAGATGATCATCTACAAATCAGAAAAGTAACCACTACCATATAAAGCACTTATTTAAGAATATAAAGTAAACTGATTTAAAAGGTTTGGGGAAAACAAAAAAAAGCAAAATAAAACCCAAAATACCTCTGCAGTCAAGAGCATAAATGTTTCACTGTCCTCAGAAGAATTTACTGTGTTTCATTCATTCTTTCTTTATTTTATAAGGAGACTGTAAGACAAATATCTCCTTCTGTTTCAAAAAGCTACCATATTATAAACTGATAAATTATCAACCATGACTACACGTTTACACATTCCTCCTTTGTCTGCTCATGCTGTGAATAATACAGTGTGGGAGGCAGAGAATAGACTCCCAGAGCTCCAAGGCCTGGCTGAAAAATGGCACTGCCTCTTTGAGCAAGTGTGTTACCTTTCCAGGCCTCAGCTGCCCAGTTTGTAATTACTTCCATGGTTCCTTTCAGAACTGAATCACTAAAGTTTATATTTTATTATCTGTCAATTGTGGTAGAACAAGTCAATACAAAAATTCCGTAATTCTTCTTTGGATAGAGATCAGTAACTAACTTATTATATATATATGAAGACTCCTTTAGTATAACAGAAAAGATGATGGTAAGATTTTACCTTAATAAGCATAGTTTGTATTACGAATAAGGGAACTTCAGTGTATAGGGAAAAAAACCTCACCCATGTTCCTTACAAGTTAAACCATGATCTTAAGACCTTCCCAATGAAGAACAACTTTTGATAACTACAATTTAGGTAGCAGGCTAGGCACAGTTCCTAGCACTTAATCATATCTAGCATTTATTGACTACTTCACTGTCAAAGTAGCTAAAGAAACAACCACTTGATAATGATGGAAGTCACTAATATCCTTATCTAAACTAACCTATTTTGTTAATTTGTTTAGGTGTTTAATGTGACATTCCCAAGCCAACCAACAAGGAACAAGCAGATGGATACCAATTGCTAGGCCATCACTGAAGTTGTGCAGGCCATCACCCATTATCACCATCCAGGCCAATGTGGCAATGCCAGCATCTTTCAGCTCCTCCCGAGAGTAACGCTGACTGTGACTGTGGGGGTGGTGATTTTGGTGGTGGTGGTGGTGCAGAATATGATGGTAGTCATGATGGTGGTGAATGAGGTCATCTGACTGGCCCAATGTATCATGAAAATGGGAGTGGCATTTATTCTTGCACCCTCTGGGTACGTATTCATTGTAGACTTCTTGCGGATGAGCATGAGCTATCATGACCTCTTCTTCTTCCAAGATTGCTGGCTGCTGAGAATCAAAGTGTGAGGGCTCTTGTGAGTCAGCTCGTAAATAGCCTTCGGGTCCTAGGAATAAATAAAAAGGACATTGGGGCAAAATCAGATTTTGTTAATTTACTTGGACAAACTCGAAACATTCTAACAATCAAAGTCAACAAATGATTTTAGAACATGGTAACACTCTCACATCTGCAGAACTAAACAGAGTATTGTTGATGAGAAACATCAATAGGTTTTAAGGAATTGAAAAAATTGAATCTCATATTTAGAATCCATTTTAAACTGGGCATGGTGGTGAATGCCTAAAATCTTAACACTCAGAAGGCTGAAGCAGGAAGACAACAAGAGTGCAGGGGTTCAAGACTAGCTTGGACAACATAATGATAGCAAGACTTCATTTCAAAAAAAAAGAATGGATTATAAATATGAAAGAATAAATTTTAAACTTGAACATTCAAAAACTATCCTACCTCTGATTTTCTCTTAACTTCTTTTAGTTTGTTTTAAAAAATGAGTTTTTTTTAATCCTAAAAAAAATCACATGCTTATTTTTAAAAATTGATATTTAAAATTATTTTACACTGCCCTTTTTTTTGGTGGTTCTGTGGTTTGAACTCAGGGCCTTATACTTGCTAGGAAGCTCTACCACCTGAGTTGCACCTCCAATCCTAAAATATTTATTTTAGAAAAATACTGAAAGTTGGAAAAGAACAAGCATAATGTGTCATCTGACTTTTTATTTCAGTGAAAAACAAAATACTCTGAATTGTTTCAAGAAGAAATTAGTACCAATCTGGGCCAAGAAAAGTAAACTGCAACAATAAGGTTTCTTCTTTGTACTGTATACTATTATCAATTTTCTTGGGATCAACCCTGACCCTGTTGTCCATTCTTACTTATTTATTTATTTTTTGTCCTGGGGTTAGTACTCAGAGCCTTGTACAAGCACTTTATGACTTGAGCCATACATCTAGTCCTTTTGCCTTGTTATATTTTCAGATAGAGTCTCCTGCTCTTTGTCTGGGCCAGCCTTGGAAAGGCTGATTCTCCTTCTGATGCATCCCAAGTTGCTAGGATCAGAGATATGTACTACCATCCCTCACTTTTTGTTAGGCTGACCTTGAATCCCAATCCTCCATTCAAAAAGGTGGAGCGGGAATAGTTGCAGGAAGAGTGAAAGGATTTTATTTATTCTTAAGGGAAAAAAAAAAAAAAGCATGTTGGAAAATACGTGCTAATAGGAAACCTTACCGATAGGCATTAGCAGCAATGAGTTTTTTCACTCCCTTCAATCAGTTACTATCGTTAAGCACCCCTGGATGCTGGAATCACAGGTATATGCAACCACACCTGGCTGTGGTAGGCATTCTGGCAGGCTCAGGGAACACAGTGAAGCAAAACAAAGTATCTGTCTTCAAGAAATTTAAGTTCTTATGGGGAGAGAGACACTCAGCAAGGAAGCACTTGTACAAATGAAGTAATGTGAGGCACTGGTAAGTACAAGTTAGGAAAGGCTTGTATGAAGGACAATGATGGGGAAACCAGTTGTATTTGAGTGGTTAGGGAAGGCCTTGAGGAGCAGATCCTGAATTGGGACCTGAAGGATAGAAGAAAGCGATGTGAAAATCTGGGAAAAGGGCATTCCAAGCAGGACAGTGAGCACCAGGCCCTAACAAACCTTTCAAGCTCACAGAAAGAAAAGAGGCCACGAGGCTGGGGCAGAGGGAACTATGTGGAAGAGTGGAAGATCTAATAGGACTGTGAAGGTCATAGCCAGGAGTTTGCTTTAAAATGTGAATCTTAACTGAGTCTGTCCATTAAGAAATGCCAATCTAATACTTGTTACGGGAAAAATAGCAACTTTACAACAGAGAAACATGTTGGTCAAAACCTTAGCCAAATGACCAAAATCAGCAACATCAATAATTGACAGAGCATTATATTAGGTGGTACACCATGTGACTGAAAAGATACAATGCCACTTTGTGGTATTTCTGCCCAAATTATCATCTGGCTAATAATGAAAAAATATTAGACAAGTAAAAATGAGAAGCAACTAAATGAAACATTTGATCCTGGACTGTACTCTGGACCATTTTCCCCAACTTTGGTCACGGGGGTGGGGAGTGTTGAGGAATTAAAACAAGTGGAAAAAAAGAATGAGGTCTATCGACTAAAGAATGGTACCATATCAGGCTGGTGGAGTGTCTCAAGTGATAGAACACCTGTTTAGTAAGCATGAAGTCCTGAGTTCAAACCCCAGTACCACCAAAAAAAAAAGAATGGCACCATATCAACCTAAATTTCCTGACTTTGATAACTGGTTATACAAAAAAGCCCTGTTGTTTCTTTTTTTCTCCCTCCCCACCTCCTTCCTTCCTTTGCAGTAGTGGGTATTGAACCTAAGGCCTAACACTTGGCTAGCAAATTCTCTACCACTTGAACTACACTACTTGCTAACTTTGCTGGGCAGAGTCTGGCTGAAGCTTATGCACCCCATAATAATAAATGAGGTATCTCCTTATTGAAGGCCTAGTGTATAGTCTCAAGACAATGCTGGAGGACAAGTACTATTACACAATTTTCCACATCTGGCACCAAATTTTAAACACAGTTCTCAGAAGCTTACATTTATATGATATTCCAAAGACAGCAAAGGTGTAGGAATCTACAAAGGATGAGGTTGTCAGAGTAAGGTGAAGACTTGTCTACAAATGGGCACTAGGAGGTTGTGTTTTGGGGGTGATGGAATGTTCTGTGACCTAATTATGGTGATAAAAGAATGCATTTGTGTCTAAGACCACATTTCAAATTGTGACTATTACTATTCTTAGAGAAGTGAATAGAAAACAAAGAAACAAAAAGCCCTTTCATGAACTACAAGAAAATACACTTTAGTCTTACTGGGTTAATGTGCAACAACAGTACTTTCCACTTCCTAATGACTACAGACCATCAAGACTTCCTTGGAACCCAATCTGAAGTTTGGAAGCATGACCCATGGTCACATACATCCTCACTTCAGTCACATAACTTGAAGGAAGTAAGCAACATGTCTCTGGGTCCAAACCAAGTTCATAGGATCAAAGTTCTGAGAACACTGTGGCTTGAGACTACAGGATTAAAAGGAATTCCACAGATGGCAGAGGGACTCTTCGGGGGCAGTGTCCTAAACCATGAACATTTGTGTGTCTTTCTAGGTCTCTTCCTCAGGCCGTATGCAGCTCAGTTCTCAGTATCTTCTCAGGGCCAAATCTCATTCCAATCTTACTGCTGCAAAACTTCACTAGACATTCATACCTGAGCCCTCCAGCAGTCATTGCTCTGCTGGAATTCCTCATGATTGTAGTGAGAGAGGGTGGATTAAGGAGTCTGACACACTGACCCACATTTTTTAGTCACAACAATATACTTATACATGAATTTAGCATCCTATCACTCAGCAAACAAACAGGCTTTTTGGTAAGTCTTATATCACCCGAGACATCCTAGGGAGAATACTCTGACAGAGCCATGTGCATTCATACTTAAGCCTGCCCATGTACACACAGGATCTCTGTGTTTGTGCCCTCCATTCCTCAGGCCGCCTCACATCCAAATTCTCCCCAAGTTGGGTCTACAGAGCCCTCTGTGCTGCATACTATGCACATTTCCTGGACATGAACTACACCAAGGAGCCAAGTCCTTGAGGAATTGCAGTTTACAGTGAATGTATCCTCAGACACTTGAATCCCACTACTCAGATGGCTCCAGCATGCAGTGTGGATCCACTGGTATTGGTGCCATGGAGACACCTGGAAATTCTTGAGCTGACTTAAAAGTGTGAGGCACTAATCAAGGGCAAACACAACAAGGGGATTGAACTTTGATCACAAGATAAAAGCGAGAGCACACAAGGGAGATATGAGGATAGGTAAGACACCTAAAAAAATTAACTAGCATTTGTTCCCCTCAACACAGAGAAACTAAAGCAGATACCTTAAAAGCAACTGAGGCCAATAGGAGAATGGGACAAGGAACTAGAGAAAAGGTTAAGATCAAAAAGAATTAACCTAGAAGGTAACACACATGCACAGGAAATTAATGTGAGTCAACTCCCTGTATAGCTATCCTTATCTTAACTAGCAAAAACCCTTGTTCCTTCCTATTATTGCTTATACTCTCTCTTCAACAAAATTAGAGATAAGGGCAAAATAGTTTCTGCTGGGTATTGAGGGGGGTGGGGAGGAGAGGGAGGGGGTGGAGTGGGTGGTAAGGGAGAAGGTGGGGGCAGGGGGGAGAAATGACCCAAGCATTGTATGCACATATGAATAAAAAAAAAAAAAGTGTGAGGTACTAAAACAAAAAAAAGTCTGAGAGATACTTGAAACAAAACAAAAAGATATGGTCCCATCTCTTCCAAATGATCCAAGTTGCTTGCAAATCCCAGAGCTGCAACTCCCTCCAGCCCTCAGAGCCACTCATAAATACTCACGATCATCTGCATCTACTTTCTCTTCATTTGTTGAAAGTTGAGATTCATACTTGGACAACTGCTTCTTAATTTCCACGTCATCATCACTTTCAGGTTTTTTTTGATTCTAAAATAGCAAGAGAAAACAATACTTTGAAATAGTTGATTTGTTCAGATGTACAGCTTTAAATAAACACATAAGCAAAAGATCTAGAACAAGACAAAAAAGTTAACAGACCTCTACTGGAAAAAAAAGCCACCTCAGGGCAAGTACTGTACTTATTTATTTGCACAGTATTTAGTAGTGAGTCTTGGGCATAAGAAGGTAAAGAATGTCTGAGTAATGTGAGATGTAGGAAATCACACATTCATCTTCCTGAATGCCCCAGACATCATCTCCCCTACATGTGGTTTTATGCAGGCAGCTTTGTGCCTCCTAGGAACTTGTCAGAAATACATGCTCTCAGGATGCATGCTAGAACTGATGAATCAGAACACAGATTTTAATTAGCTCCTTGGGTGAGTAATCCACACATTAAAATTGAGAAACTTTATCTTAGGTTATCAATTTAGAACTAGCTAGAGGCATTTCCTTCAGGTTCTTCATGATCTACTAAACAACTGCTTTGTTTCCTCTATGCTTTTCTTGTTTGGACACTGAAACCTTGTACTTCTCATACTTTTTACAACCTAAAACTAGACATAGCTTTTAAGTTATAAAAATTAAAATACTTTCCCTAGTAAAACACCATTAACATGTTTTCTCTTAAAAATAACCCTTGAAATTGTCACCAGGCTTTTTAACTATCCCGAACACCACACTTGAGAGATTGTCACTATCTGATTGCAAGGCAATATTTATGTTGTACAAAGGTCACACTGAACAATAGTGCCTGTGTATTATGTACTTATGTAGGAGATAATAGATTTCTTTTTTCAATATCTTTGAATATGACTCAAACAATTACCATCATATCTGAGGTTACATTCTAGAATATCCAACTGCACATAAGATATCTATACTTATTCTCTCTCTCTCTCTTTAAGTTTTGAGCTTTTAAAGGCAAACAGACTTTTTTTTGGTGGTAGGGACTGAACCTAGCACCTCACCAACTTTTAAGCACATGGTCCATCACCTCCAGCCACAGACAAATCTTTATATTTACCCCTAGTGTGGTGCCTCAATCAGGGAAAGTACTTAGATATTTGCAAAAATAAATAAATTTAGGGTATTTTAAAATTTTGTTTCCCTGCTCCCCACTCCCCCACCCCCCGTGGTGCTGAGAATCAAACAGGGCCTTTTACATGCTAGGCAAGTGCCTACCACTGAGCTACATCCTCAGTCTTGATTTTCTTCTTAATTGATAAATAGCAACTGCATATATTTATGGAGTGAATTAAGGGTATCTTAAATAAAATTTGAAATTTGTTGGTGTTTTATTTTTCATTGGGCAATGACTCTAGAACTTACAGCTTAACTAATTCTTTCATTCCACAAGTATTAAGAACCTATAACATGCTCCATGAGAAGTGCTAGCAGTACAACATAAAGCAAGGTAAATCGTCTCTGTTGTCATGGAGCAGATCATTCACAGAAGGGGCTATACACACATAATGATTACTCAATTCTTTGCTTGCAACCTTCACTACATTTTTAGGAAAGAAAACCACAGGGTGCTATTGGAGTGTATAGTAACAAGACGGGATCTTGAAAAATGTGTGACAATTATGCAAATACTTAAAGATAAGCAGGAATTTGGTAGGAGAGGAGTATTGCAGAGAAAGAGAAAAGTATGAGGGACAGCCTTGAAGCAGGAAGGGCCCAGCAATGTCCTAGAAGTAAGAGAAATACAAGGTAGTCTAGGAGGACCCTCTCTCTACAGGGTGGGGCAGCTAAGGAGGCCACATAATGTACTCCATATTAAAAGTAGTGAACTTTGCTCACAAAGTAATGGGAAATCACTGGGCTCTGGATAGTGGCACATAACCTCATTATCTTTACATTTAAACAAATCACTGTCTGCTCTGTGGAAATGGAGTAGGAGAGGAAGAAAACAAAGTAATGTGAGCAGGCCAGTTAGGGGGTGACTGCTGTCACTGAGGTGAGAGATAACCAAGTCTGGACTAGACTAACAGTAAGGAAGATGGAGAGAAATGGAAAGACCAGGGACATATTTAATAAAATTTGGTAGGAAATGGGGATAAAGCAGATGTCACAAATGACACTGATTTTCACCATGAGTAACAACCCTCACTTGTAGAAAGTAAGTTCAGAGTTGAAGGGTTGTTAGGGTCTAACTACACATGTCAAGCATGAGATGAACTTTAGCAGAATGTGGAGGTCGCAGGCTGTCCTTTATGCTGGGTGACTAAAACTATGCTATAGAGAATCTCCAAGGGCACATCCTGCACTTAAGGAAAACGTTCAGTAAAATGCCGTTATGGGCCTGAAGCATTCTCAACACTACCCCAGAATGAATCTTTTGTTTGTTTGTTTGTTTTCACTACGGGGCTTTGAAATCAGGGCTTCATGCTTATTGGAGGTGCTCTACCACTTGAACCACCAGCCCCATTTTTTTTTTCTTTTGAGAGAACCAAATGAGATTGAAAACTTCTAAGTAAGTAACACTAAAATTAAAATGCTCTTAACAAAAAATAAACCCCATATTTTCTAAAAAAAAAGGGAAGATAAGCCAGGCTCAGTGGCTCATGCCTATAATCCTAGCTACTGGGGAGGCTAAGATTGGGAGGATTGTGGTTCAGGGCCAACTGGGCAAATAGTTTGTGAGACCCCCCATTTCCAAAATAACCAGACCAAAAATGAACTGGAGGCATGGCTCAAGTGGTAAAGTACCTGGTTTGCCAGTGTGAAACCCTGAGTTCAAACTCCAGTCCCACAAAAAAAAAAAAAAAAAAGGAAGAGAACACATGAACACAAGTTGTTCATAAAACTCTAGTACACTATTTTAGAGCAGAGATTATCAAACTTCTCTGAGCCAGCCTTCCAGTCTATTATAATTTTTGTAACTTATAACATACTGCTATTTATTTATCTACTTATTTGTGGTGTTGGGAACTGAACTTAAGGCCTTATACCAGCTAGGCAAGTGCTCTGTCATTGGACTACATCTCTAGCCCTTACTGCTACATTTAAAAATATTAGGACAACACAAATTTCACAGCTCACTAGTAACCTAGTCTTAACCTAGAGTTAGAAAATATTATTTTTGTTGATCTCACTATATAACCTAGGCTGGGCTGGCCTTGAACTCACTAGGAAGTTAGCTTCAGACCTTATTATTATTATTAATTATCATTATTATTATTTTTTTTTTTGTGGGACTGGGATTTAAACTCAGGGTTTTGTGCTTACAAAGCAGGCACTGGCTTCAAACTCTTAATCTTTCTGCCTCAGCCTCTTTAGTGCTAGGAATATAAGCATGTACCATCAATGCCTGGCCAAACTGTTCTATATTAGTAACAGCCTATCTCTTAGAATCCTAAGTTAAAGAATGTGGGGTTAAAGAACAGCTAGGTAAAATTTAGGTAAAAATTGAAAACTAAATTGAAATAAAAAAAAATGCTCATGGGCACAGATGCTAATTTTGTCAGGCACTGTTGAGTCATGTCTGCTGGTGAGTCACATCTCTTAGTTACTCGGGAGGCAGAGATCAAGAGGATCGCAATTCAAAGCCAGTCCAGGCAAAATATTCACTAGATCTTACCTTTATGTCATTTGAACCAAAAATATAGTTAAAACCCCACAAATTTCTCCCCTTTAAATTTAGTTTCAGCTAGGGTAGCCCAGCATGCAATATGAGACTTTACTGAATGTAAAGGGCAAATGGTCATAGGATGGAGGAGGCCTCTCTCCTGTTGGCACATACACTTGTTTCTCACAGTGAGCTCCATGCTCAGTAACAATCAACTGTGTTCAGTTTTCAAACCTCTTAATGCCAGAATACTATAATTGCACTACTTAATTACATGTTGCTCAAACTATGAAATGATGGTGAGAATAGTTACTTCTATGAACACATAACTTGAATGCTTTTTAAAAGATTCAAGAGCAAGTTGCTAAAAAAAAAAATGGGGGGGCTATCAAATTATTTTAAGCTAACCACTCTATAAAATTTTTAAATTTCCAAAATCTAGATTCTACATTCAGAATAGCTCTACAAATGTGCAACTTTTTGTTCAATTTTGGGGAAACCAAAACTGGAAAATGTAGGTGAAATATAGCATGGCTATTAAAAAAAAAGAGAGAGAGAAAAAATAATATAGAACTCAAAGTAATTCCTCATCAACAAATGATCATCAAATGAATGTACAGATGTTCTAAGTTGAATTAAGATACGAGATGTGTGCTCCTTATTTTTAAGTCTCTTCCAATGGTCTTTTGTCTGACTTTCCTGAGCACATCAGATAAAAAAAGGCAGATAACTTTAGTAGAATCAAAGGTATTTTATCAGAAATAGCCTACTTCTTGGCTTCATCCCACTTTATGATCTAACTTGCAAAAAACAATCCTATAAAATCATATTCCCTTTAAAGCACAACAGGACATTCAACTACTGGGTAATTAATTTAAAATTAATCACGTTATTTAATCATAACCACCAAAAGATATTGATGGTTGTATCCACGACATGTCTGTACCTATCTTTGGTCATTTATATAGATGCTTAACCTTGAGACTTTCTTACCCTCCCATAAGTTTAAGGACTAGGGAAACTCTGGGCAAGATAAATAACTCTTGGGAGGTAGAGGTAGGAGGATGGTGAGTTCAAGGCAGCATGAGCAAAGCCAGCAAGATCCTATGTCAAAACAAATAACAAATACAAGCAAAAAGGATGGGTGTGTGACTCAAGTAGTAAAGCTCCGTGTTTAATCCCCAGCAACACACACACACACACACACACACACAAATCACCTTATACAAGCTAGTCTGACAATCAAGTTACAGAGCTACCCTAAGAAAATGCTGCATATTAAGGATTCAGTATGCTATTTCTTACCTTTTTCTTCTTATCTTTAAACTGCTTGATCAATGTGAGTACATGTTCAACAAGAAACATGAAATACAAGCCTCCTAGAGCTGTTAGACCTTTCCATGTGGAATCAAAATAAGTACTTTCTTCTATGTTTTGAGAAGACAGATGACTGAAAAGCGGACCTCTTTTCATTTCCATTGCTGGTTCTTCATGGCTATGACTATGGTGGTGACTTGCATGAGACTAAAAGCAAAATGATATGTAAATTTATACACTCATTAGTTTCAAATATGTCAGAGAAATTGGCCAAGATAGTAGAGACACATTTGAAACCATTCAGAATCAGGCAATTAATGGGATACTTCAGAGTTGAGGAGATATTAAAAATAAAATGACGAAGGGCAGTTATTCAGAGTTTAATGCATGCTATGTACTACAGCACTTTGTAGAGTAAGTCTGTTTAGCCTGAAGACAGATACATTCCCCAGAAATCTTTGTAATACATGGGAAGAGAGTGTTCTCAATGTTGGACAAGTTATCACAGCTACAATTAACAGGGAACAGTCAGACTTAACAGACACATAGTATTAACTGTTTATATTCCCAACTGAGTTTCAGAACAGTGTCATCAGATCAGCCTTGAAGGAAGTGCACTTTGTGTGTACTAACCCAGCAAACTGCAGCTGAGTGCACTAGTAACCAATCATGTGGTCTGCACGTGAGGCAAATGGGTGTGGAGCACACTAAGGTCATGGGGTATATCCTAGGCATACATGTCACTTCCTTTTTGAATAGAGCATGAGATTTGTAGTGTTCTAGGAATGGAATGATTTCCTTTCTCACTTCCCTAAAAATCTCTAAGGTTTTTCCTATGTGAAACTTATCCCAAATATTTAATAGAAAAGTAAATTTACTTTACCAAACTCATTTTAAAAATTCATAAACATCATGAAGTGTAAATCTCTAAATATACACATAAACTAAACTTTGGAGAAAAATTTCCAATTTTCTTAGGTATGTAAGAATTACATATTTTATTTCTGTGGCAATTACACAAACAGATAAACAATTCCCACTGTTGCAGTCTGTCACAGTACTGACAGCTGAGTAGAATCTGTGTCCTTTTAAGTGGGTTCAAAAGTTAAATGAGTCTGTACTTAGTAGGTTCCCTTAAAGAGAAATGCAACCACTCCAAAAAATCCAAAAAAATCCCCAAATCAAGAAAAAACATATATTAAAATCTAGCACAAAAATGCAGCTTTCAGTTATGAAGCATTATTTATTTTATTTTTTGCGGTGCTAGGGATCGAACCCAGAGCCTTGCCACATGCTAGGTGGCACTCTACCACTGAGCTATATCCCAGCCTGTGAGATGTATTTTAAAATCAACTTCTTTAATCTAAATTCCTAACTATTTAGACATACTAATACAAAAAATTCTAGTAACAAATCTTTCTCTCTGTGTGTGTATGTGTATGTGTGTATGTGTGTGTGTGTGTAAATGTTTTCAAAACTGAATAATACAACAGAATTGTAGGACAAATGACTGCACTTACATGTGGAAGAAGGTGTAATAAAGCATCACCACTCAAAGTGCCGACGGCCAGTGCCACAAGGAAACTTAGAAGAAATTTGAAAAACACCCGATTCATGAGAGGCACCAAGATGACCCCCAGCAAAGACAGGAAACTGATGATGGAAATGGCTATAAAGCCACCAACCCAGGCTGTTAAAACAGAGCAAAGGAAAATCACACCATCGATCAACTTTGAAGGACAGGCTTTTGAAGAATAGCAAGGGAAACACAGATTCAATGCAAATAGAATTGTGGCAATAGCACAATAGCTATGAAACCTGTTTCTGGCTCAAATGAACACCTGATTGATAATTAAGAGTCCTTCAACTAAGGAGTGTAAGCCTAGTGAAAAACTCTTCAAAGGGGGTGAAAGGAGAAAAAAAATACCAAGGATGAACTCTGGGTCACTTGGAACCTGAGCTGTACTTTAAGACCCCCAGAACAGCTAAAAGAGAACGAAACTGGGAGCTGGTTGTGGTGGTGCATTGCTGTAATCCCAGCTACTCGGGACGTGGAGGCAGGAGAATGGAGAGTTTAAGGCATGTCCTGTCCCAGCAATGGTAATAGTGACACCATACCCAAAACAAAAGAAAAAGAAAAGGGCTGGTGGAATGTTTGGTTAGCAAGTGTGAAGCCCTGGGTTCAATCCTGATATACCCCACATACTCAACCCCTCCAAAAAAAAAAAAAGATGAAACATAGGAAACTCAATAATGTTCCCAGCAAAAAAACCAATTATTTCTTTCTCATTATAGCCTTTTCTTTTCTTTTTTTTTTGACACAGGGTCTTGGTATGTAGCTTAGAATGGCCATGAACTCACCATCCTCCTGTCTCTGCCTCCTGAGTGCTGGGATTAAAGGTGCAAACCACTATACTAGGTCCCTCATTTATAGCTTTTGAGCAATGTGACCCTAGACTATAGCAGGGCTTATCCTAGTTTCACTTATCAGAGAGAATATACCAGAATTAGACTGCTAAGCAGCAGAGATGAACTCTGAATCCTCCCAACAGTGTGACATAATATAAAAAGCCCAAATTTGAGAAGATCCTTCTGTGGGTTGACCTCAGAGAAGTCATCATCTACATTTTATTTTTGTCTTTGTTTTTCGAGACAGGCTACCCTTGAACTCATCATCCTTCATCCCCAGTGCCCGAATTACAGGTGTGTGCCACCACAACTGGTTTTGTCTTCTCTTTTTTGGTGGTACTGGAGTCTGAACTTGCTAGGAAGGCCTTTTTTTTTTTTTTTTTTTTAGTGAGGAAGCTCACATACTTGCTTTCTTCTCACTCAGGACAGAGAACAAGTAAGATAACAAATCTGGAATTATGCTGAAAAATGAATAGGCCAATGCAAATATAGTAAGAAGCACAGTGTAAATTTATCTACCAGAAATTAGTTCCACATAAAAAAGGCATTTCTACCTATTTGTAATGAGTAGGTCTTTGGAGGAATTTCAGCCTTCTTTTCACTTGTTGTATGAATCAGACAAGATCTAGCATCGATTTGATTGATGATGGCTGGGCAGAGGTAGTTGAACTCTGTTGCATTTAGTGGAACCTGGATGCCCATGCCATGAGACGTAAGCAGCTTAGATGCATTGAAACACTGAAGGAAAGAAACAAAAGCAGTAAAAATCACCAAAAGGCATGCCCATTAGAGAATCCAAAAAATGTAGTTTGATGACATGACACCTTCTCCGTTTAAGTTGATGCAAGTTAAAGTCAACTCTTGTTTTCAGTGTTTTTGAACTTGCCCCTAGCTACCTGAAGATACTATGTCACAATGGTGATAGGCCACTCTTCTGCCTACTTGGGAGCAGTTATATCACTAGTCACTTAGGGAGAAAGCCTCAAGTGGAACAAGCTTGGGAATGAATGGAGATTCACAAGCCTGTTAACTCATTGTATAAACCTATTAAGGAAATGAGCTTTAATTTCGAAATGAGGTTCATTAGAGATTGAGAAATGTTTTAGTACCAATTCCACACTATGTGGCCTAAACATGCCCAGGACATGTTGTTCTTTCAGAAAAGATCCTACTTGCAGAAACTTAGCTCAGTTCTGTCTACATACCTGGCAAATAATGCTCTATAATGAGAGAATATTGAATTATGCAGATTGCTCTTGCAGAGGGCAATGCCGCTAGTTAGTTAATAAAACAAACCTGTCCCAGCAGGCAGATGGTTCCAACAATTTAATTGGATGACAGGCTGAGTTTGAAGAGAAACTCCTCTGTGAAATTTAACACCCCCACTTCCAAAAAAGATCTGGCTTGGCTGCAGTACCTGTTTCTCACCTTCTCTAAAGATTTGCCAACTCCCACAGTTCTTGGCCAATACTACTCAGAACAAGCTTCATCACCAGTGCTGCCTTGGCTATGGCCAGTGTAAGATAATTCCAAACTTAGTACAGGAATATGCTGGGGTACTTACTTTCTGAATGAGTGCTTAAATTTTACTTACTAAAGTATACCAACTAATTCTTGTTTTCCTGACATCTCTCAGTCAAGGTGAATCATTTAGAGTCTGGAAGTCTATTATAGAAAAGTCATGTGAACTCAGAACCTCACTGCCCAGACTTTACACTGTTGGGTACAACACTCTTGGTAGCTGCTCCAATTTCAGTCAGTCCACAAGTCATCATTGTTCTTTCTTTGGCCAGGGAGGCAGCACTGCTCTTCTTGGTGTTCTTCAGCCCCTTCAATCACACTTCTCCCTAAGACATGGATTCTAACTCCTGCTTTTTCAACCTCCATGTTCTGTTTGTTTGTTTGTTTTTTAATTAATACTATCCACGTTTAAAGATTTTCTCCAAAAATAACCTTGATATTTTACAGTCTATTTTTTAAAGAAACATTTTCCAGGAAGCACTATTCTCATAAAAGTAGTTCTGTGTCAGGAATGCTCACAACAGTTGGCACACTGTGAACTAAGTGCCTTGCTGAGAAGGTGGAAAAATTCCCTTTTCAATAACTCTATTGTTTTACTTTTATTTTACTCCTTGTAACTAGACATAGAGTGGCAACCACAAGACACAAGTAGGTATGCTAACATAATACACAGCATTTTTCTTACCTCCTGAGTATTGTCATTCATGCTTCTGGAATACATAAAGCCCTTTCTGGGCTCACTCACAGACTCATTGGTTTTCCTACGAGCCAGCCGTCCCATTCTCTTCTCTGTGATACTGGGTGGGGTGGAACTGCTTCCAACTTTGGGGAGTTTCCTGGGTTTTGGAGTCTCTATTGTCTCTAGAAAGCGTGTCCCTTCAGAGACAGTGTTATACACAGTTGAGGTCACTTCACTAGCACTCACACCTTCCTTGACATTCCTTCTATGGTCAGCATGCCCCAGACGGCGAGATCCTTTCCTCTGGCTGTTTTTAGGATCTTTACTTGAACCATCAGAGTCATGGTCTGGGCAGAGGGCTTTCCGATTATTTTTGCCAGAAGCAGCGTGATTATGATGAGAGTGACGATCATGGTCAGAGTGCTGCTCATGGTTATGGTGTATATGGACTCTCTTAATCTTATCTATGCCTATATTCTGAAGCAATTTTCTGAATCCTTCCACTGATAAAGAATCATTCTCTCCATAGCGGTAGAAAAGCTGTTGTAGATGATGTCGCTGTGTGGTTACTGCCAGGTCAACATTAATGGCAGATTCCCAATTTGGATTAATTTTCTCAGTGGTCTGAGTGAAAGCAGCTACTGATTCTAGTTCATTAAGGGGATTTATGACCAAAAGGGCAAAGATCAGGATCAAGATTACAGATAAATTCCTCGCCATTGCACCTTCCTAGAAAAGATAGAAGAAAAAAATTATGACCTCACTTCCAAAAGAATTTGGATTAAGAAACCTCATGCTGAAAATTGATGTCTAATCAGTCAAGGTTTACAGAGCATCATTTGGTGTAACCAGTGTGGTACTAGGTACTTTAAAGATACAGAAAGCTAGAGTGTTAGGGTCTCTCCTTGCATTGCTAAAACAGCAAGCAGATAACCAGTGAGCACTAACAGACTGTAACTAGCACTATAAAAGTAACAGTAATTCAGAGATAGGAGGGATCCATGTGGCCACAGCCATACTGGCAACTTCTTACTATGGGAACAATTATTCAAAACCAAACTAAATCTAACCACCTCTGCCATCACCATCATTTCATAAAAGGATCTTTTAAACACCAAAAAAGCCTCAAAAAATGGGTACATTTTATATGCAAATCCATTTAAGGCCCACCTCCTTCATCCCACTCCTCAAAGTACTCAATTTTACCAGCTTGTGTTTGTGTTTGTGTGTGTGGGGGGTGAGTAAGAGTCAGGATGTTTTCTATTACTATTCAAATAGATTCAAGCATGCAAGTGAGATCTTTTCCCCTCAATAATGAATTAGTCACATTTTTATGCCAGTACATAGATTTTCCTAACTCTTTTGAATGACTACATTAATAGTTAAATTAAACTCCATGAAAAACTCATATTGTTCTTATGTTGCTACAAACCAGTGAAAATCTTATCACGAGCTCACACAATAGTGTTTGGAACACAAAGACTATGCTCCAAAGAGGAGTTAGGAATCAAGTTGGGGCTTGAATAGCATAAGTCAGTTAAGCAGTGGAAAGTATAGTCAGACAAGCGGAAAGAGAAGGTACCTCCGGCCTGGCAAATGTCCAGCACCAATGGCTATGATGGCCAAACCCGCGTCTCCACTGTTCATGCTTCCGACTAAACAAAAGCATGGGACAACCAAGCCCTACCACTTTCAAGGCTGTTCTTCGGACCAGGCTCTTAGATTCATGACCTCACCTGAAAAGCCGGTAATACCTATTTTGCAGGCCAAATGAGGAAAATACAAAAGCGAATGTGCGTAGACGTGTTCGTTAAAGTCATGTGTTGCCCAAGTACTGATTATCATCCTGGGAGCGGTGGATAAATGGACATATATACACCTAGCGTAGAGCCATATTCCTAAAGAATCTTCGGGTCTTAACTTTCAAGAATGTCCTGAACAGGACCATTAAGAAATCACTCCCAGGAGAGAGGAGAGGCGCGGGGTAAGTGGGGACAGCACAGGAGGCGGCTGGGACAGAATGATGGGCGCAGCCGCGGACCCGACCTCGGGTCTGCTCCCCGGCAAGTTGGCGTGTGCTGGAAGAAAATGTCTTGGGGAAAAGGGAAAAGAAGGCACAAAGATCGTTTTCTAAAGACTTTTTATCTTTAATCACGTCAGTACCTTCTTTGAGCATGGAATAAAAAGTACACACCATCTTCCCAGAAAGTCCTCTATTGGACCCCAAAGCCCATCTGTCTCCTCCAAGCTGGGGAAGACCAGTTCTCCAGGGAGGGTGAGTGGGCGCCTAAGGCGGGCTCCTCCCAGCATCCCTCCTCTGCAGCCTGGTCCCAGAACCCCGCGTCGCTGATTACCGGTCTGCGGGGGTCCCTTTCCCACCGCCCCATTCTCGGATCCGCTGAACTCACCTCTCCGCGGCCTCGCCCCACGCTCAGGTTCGGTTCCCCGGCGGCGGTCCGAAGGACTGGAAACGGGCCCGTGCTTGTCTTTTCGAAAAGCCTTTTACAGGGCGCGGAAAGGCGGCGGTGTCATGGGCTCGGCCGCCCCTCGGCCCCGGGGGTGCCACGGGGAAGCCGCACCCCGCACGCCCCAGCCTCCCGGAGCAACACAATCAGTAATCACCGCCTCGCGCAGCGCGAAGCCGGGACCGCCGCCTTCTGCGGGTACCACCGCGGCGCACGCGCAGTGAGGGTCTCGAGCCCGGTCTACACACAGATCCGCTTTTCCGCGTGTTTGCAGATGCCGCGGGCTCGCAGGGCAGGAGGGGCTGCGGCTCAGAGTTAGAGGCTTTGGCGCGGTCCCAGTGAACCCGGAGCACTTCGGGGGCCAAGGATGGGGGTTCTCTTCCGTTCTCCGAGGCCTGAGACTCAATCGCCAGAGTTAGCCCAGTCTGTTGTCTGAAGCTAGGTCGTGGGGGGCCTCTCTGGCACACAACTCCCGCTCCTTTTGTGGGGTGCCGAGCTACACGACTCAGGCCCACAAGCACGCGGAGGCGCGGTCCAAGAGATGAAGCCACCGCTACCCGGGACCACTCCGGCCGGGCGGGGGCGGGCCCGAAGGGGGCGGGGTCACCCTCGCTCCGCCCCGCCCTCCGGCCGGCTCCGAAACGCGGACTGGCTGACGCCAGCGGGAGAGGTCGCGCAAGTAGTTCCGCTCCCCGGGCGGAAGTGCGCACGTCTGTCTCGGCAGCCGATCAGCTGGCGTCATGGTGGCGCCTGTGCTTGAGGTTTCTCACGTGTTCTGCTGTCCGAACCGGGTTCGGGGAGCTCTGAGCTGGAGTCCTGGGCACGGAGGACTTCTGGCCTTTGGCACATCCTGCTCCGTGGTTCTCTATGATCCTCAGGTACGAGGCCACGTGCACGGTCGGGTCCACCCAGGGAGGGTGTCTGGCGGGGAGTCTCCATGGGCTCCGGACTCGCCACTCTCCGTCCTAAAACCCGAATGAGGAGAATCTTATCTGAAACCGCTTCCTCAGGACCTGAAGTACCGTGAAAGGATCAGTTTAGGGTTTAAACCAATTGACATTTAGATGCGGAATCTGAAGCCATCATCCCACAGATGCCATCTCCGTTCCCTTCGGTGTTGGCTAATGAACTTGTGTTAGAAATATTTCAAATATTTTAGGTGTGGAACGCACATTTTAAAGAACGGGCCATTTGCTACCCAGAGTTCATTATGACCCAATTTCTTCTGGTTGATTTAGGATCATGCAGTTAATAATTGCATCTCAGTAGAACCTCAGTATGAAAGTCTAAATACTGAAAGTTAAAGTGCAGTGTAGGAAATGGTCTCACATTGCTTTGTTAATATGATTAGAAATCCCATTATCCTCACCCTTTGCAGACTGAAATTTTCATATGAAATTTTTAATTCACTTTTTCCTGTCCAGAGTTTGCTTGTCTTCTGGTTTTTGCTTCTTGTTATTTTCCATGCATTCTTGAATGGCAAGAGAATTGTAAAACCAAGAATAAACTTTGCAGTAACCCTCAACTCAGCGGTGGAAGCCCACCTTTGTGCAAAGGTTTAATGGATTTCTTCAATGCTTTCCATCACTTTTTTTTTTTTTCGGTACTGGGGCTTGAACTCAGGCCCTTCATCTTGAGCCACTTCACCAGCCCTATCTGTTTTTGTGAAGGGTTTTTGGAAATAGAGTCTCGAGAACTCTTTGTCCCGGCTGGCTTCAAATCGCGATCCTCCTGATCTCTGCCTCCTAAATTGCCAGGATTACAGGCGGGAGCCACCAGTGCCCAGCTTTTACCACATTTTTAATAACCTGATGTCCATGTTAGGAGATTTTTAACATATCGAAAAAAGAAGCATATCGAGCCTAGGAAGTACTTTGTAGTAGTACTTCCTAGTCACCAGTGACCAGTGGCTCACGCCTGTAATCCTAACTACTCCCAGAGGCAGAGATCAGGAGAATCACTGTTGGAGGCCAGCCCAGTCAGATAGTCCTGAGACCCTATCTCAAATACCCAACACAAAACGGTCTGGCAGAGTGGCTCAGGTGGTAGAGCACCTGCTTTGCAAGTATGAAGTCCTGAGTTCAAACCCCAGTCCCACCAAAAAAAAAAAAATACTTTGTTATGTGTTTGCTGGTTGTGCATTTAATTAAATTTAGCTATAAGAGCATGTCAAATGCTAAAATACAGTTTGGGGAATAATGCTCATTCATCATCTATTTGAGGACCCTTTCTGGGCTAGCCCTAGGCTGAGTAATGATGTTACAAAGATAAGATTAGTCCTTCCTATTAAGGAATTCTCAGTCTAGTGGGAGAGACAATGAATTACAGTAAATTGTTTCCAACCTCAAATAACCCATGTTTGAAATACTGCTTTATGCACATTTGTCTCTATGTTGTCTGTCCCCCCCACCCCATGAGAATTCTGGTTGGCATAGAAGTAGACATGAAGTCAATGCTGTTAACAATAGAAAAAAGGCTATAAAGAAAATTCATATAATTAAAATCTTCAGTGAGTGAGGTAAGGATGCTTAAGTGTGGGGTGATTTGGTGAAAGCAGCAGTTTGTGGGTTTGTAGGCCTTGCAAAGATCTGATAGGTAAGGACTTTAGTTGTAGCCTTGTGATCTTGCATACAGGCTAAAGGATCTACCACCTGATCACTCATGACATGGAAAGTGAGCCATGAATTTGTATACCTTAACTACAAATTTCTCTGTTGAAAGACTTTTTGTTGTTAATGAAATTAAAATTGCTGTAGGTGTGGTAGGAGTCCTTGAGGCCTGTGGTGCACAAGGAAGAGGCTAGCTGGTTAGCATTGAGTATGAAGAGAGCCTCCCAGACAGAGGGATAAGGGCACTTTGGGAAGGAGAGCAGAACTGGGCAGAGGAAGGTCTGAGAACTCAATAACACAGGATTCTGAGTGTCAAGAAAGGCAGGAATGATCTAGAAGGGATATATGACTTAAGCCACTGTTGAAAGTTTATGAATTGAGGAATGCAACTCTGTTGATGTAATTCTGATCTTTTTATTAATGTCAAAAACTCTGAAGTCTTATTTTTACTAATTTATTAATTCCTTTGTAGAATAGACTCTAATTTAATTGGTATTTCCTTCCCTAAAGAAAAGGGTGGTTGTTACCAACCTGAATGGACATACTGCTCGAGTCAATTGCATACACTGGATTTGTAAACAGGATGGCTGTAAGTATTACCTGATTGTTAAAGCTGATCTCAATTATTTTCTTTTTTTTTTTAAAATAATTTTTTTAGCATATATCAGTTGTACAGGAAGGTTTCAGTGTGACATTTACATATGTGCTTATAATGTATCTTAATTAGATTCACTTCCTACTTCATTCTTCCTCTCCCTCTCCCCCCACCTTAGAACAATTTCAGCAAGTTTCATTGTTCTATTTTCATACATGTGTTCAGAGTACATTAGCCTTATTCATTGTCTTTTGTCTAGTCCTCCTTTACCCTCTCCGTTTACCCTCCATTCCTCCCTCCTTCTCTCCCACTGGCACCCCCTCAATTATTTTCTGGTATGGTTAGTCCTTTTTCTTTATCACTTCTCTTAATTTACCATTACTTTATCTGATGTTATGCAGTTAGAAAATAGAGGAAGAGTGGTATGTTCAGTGAAATATCTAATCTGTATCTTTACAGCAGTGGTAGGGGTGTTAGGATGGGTGTAGAGGCACCTCTTGACTGGCAAGACATCCCATTCCCCCGTTGCCCATAGCCTTTAATTGCAAACCTATAAGCCATTTGGGACTGAGGCTGCCATTCAGATGACTCAGTTTCTAGATGTTTTTTCCACAGACAAGCTGTTCCTTTTTTAGGCATCTCTGCTTCCACCTGTCAGTACCATCTGAAAAGTAAGGGATTGGACTGGATCAGATGACTCTGAGGTTCACGAGACTTCTGAGGTCAAAATTAGTTTCATAATACTAAGAAATAGTCACAGTTTTCATCCACATTCTGTTGTGAGTATGTAAGTACAGTTTGCTAGCAGCTGCAGGATGTATGTTGTTGTAACAAATTAAATACAGAAGTAGATATGAAAACCCAGCTGTAGTCTACTAAAGTCAGATATTAAGGAGATTTGTGGAAATGTAAAATATTTTTTGTTTACATTAATTTTTTGTTTTGAAAACATTGGCATTCCCCATCTCCATGAAAATTTGTGTTAACTTACAGTTATCTTCATTTATTTTTAAGTGAACTATTAAACAAGCATTGTTCAAATTTCTCAGGTTTTTTTTTTTTTTTGTAGTACTGGGACTTGAACTCAGGGCCTTCACCTTGAGACACTTCACTAGCCCTATTTTTGTGACGTGTTTATGAAATATTTGCCCAGGCTGGCTTCAAACCGAGATCCTCCTGATCTCTTCCTCCTGAGTAGCTAGGATTACAGGTGTGAGCCACCGATGCCTGGCTCAAATTTCTCTGTTTTAATTTTTAATATGGTTAATATTAGTACCTATGACCCCTATATAATAGGGTACTATAATATTAGTACCTATGGTCCTGAGAAATTTTAACACGGTGAAGTAGTCTTGAGACCAAGAGTACTGAAAATTGCTGGACTACTATAGATTACTTCTCTTCCATATCTAAGATTCTCTGACTCTGGAATTTTTAATTAATATACTGGTTGTTTTTAAATGGTGCTTCCAAAATCCAATGGAATTTTCTCAATATGACCACTGTAGTATTGTTACAGACCACTGAAGTTTATTTTCATTCCGTAAGCATTTATAGAAAGCATTTTGATCCAGGCACAAATGCAGAATTTCTTGAATTAATGAGACTTTGCTATGATTTTTATTTGTGGTGTTAAAAATAGTTTAATAAACACATATTTCAATTTGGCAAAGCAGATTTGTATTAGGTCACTAAAAGCCATTAAATAATACAAAGGATGGCTACTAATGTGATGTCAAAACACAATTATAATTAATTTAATTGCTACCACATGACATCAAAGACTGGTTGACCCAGTATAGGAATTTGTTATAAAATATTAATTGGGACTTGTGTATTTTAGCTTTCTCTTTAAAAGTAAGGTTACATAAAATGAATTACGTATGTATCACTGTAGTCTGTCATTATTATGATTGGTTTCCTCTAAGAATAGGGCTCTGTCACCAGATAATTAAGATGTCCTTCCTAACCAATGAATCAGGGACATAAAACATTTTAGCAATAACATTCTATACTCTTAAAATGTCTGATTTTGTTGTGTTATTTTTGCTTTAAGGTGCTTTTTTTTGAGACAGGGCCTTTCTATGTAGCTCAGGCTGGCCTTGAATTTGTGATTCTTTTGCCTATGTTTCCTAAATGCTGGTATTACAGGTGTACACCATCATGCCTGGCCTGATTTTAATGTACCTCATTTTGTGTATGTTGCTGTTATTCTTATAGTCATGTAGATAAATGGCTTAATTTCTGGAATGCATGAAAAGATTGAAGCTTAAGATCACAGTGGGCTGGCAGCAATGTTAGGACAAGAAGCTGGAGCTGTTGGAGTATAATGATGTTTATTTATTTATGTTTTATAGCTGAAAATTTAGATAATGCTGCTCCTCTCCTAAAGATCTGGTACATAGATCAGAAGAAACAAATACATTGAAAATCCAAACCAAAATTATATCATTTTTCCCCTATTTTCTAGTACTAACTCCTGTTTCTTCTGTTATCACCACAAAAGTACACATGTTCAAATGAGCTATTTTGAAGCGTAACACTAATCTCAAAAATAAGTCATATACTTGATAGCAGAAGCTGACTATAATGTCTCATAGACTGTTTCTGCTGAAAGTGTTCTGCTGACAGTGTTTAGTTCTAATTATGAGGAAACAATCAGACAAATCCACATTGAGGGACACTCTGCAAAACAACCAGCCTGCACTGTTGTTGTAGAAAAGAGGGAGCTGGGAAACTACTGTAGATTAAAAGAGGCTACAAAAACGTGCTTCCCAAATGTGCAATGTGTGATCCTTAGGTAGATTCTGAATCCAAAAGAAAAAAAAGTTATGAAAGTTAATATTGGAATAGTTTGGGATGGATTGTGTATTACATAATACCATGTCCATGTTAAAATTCTTTCTCTCCTGCTCTTTTTTTTTTTTTTTTTTAATGCTAGGGATTGAACTCAGGGCCTGTACTTGCTAGGAAAGCACTTTATCACCTGAGTTATGCCCCCAGCTCTTTTTTGTTTTTATTTTGTTTTTGAGATAGGGTCTCATTAAGTTTGTGGGCCTGGTCTTGAACTCTCCATCCTTCTGCCTCCGTCTCCCGAGTAGCTGGGATTACAGGTGTGCACAATGCCACATCCAGCAATGTTAAAAATCTTGAATGTGGTAATTGGGTTTTCTTTTTGGTGGTATTGGTTTGGTCTTTTTTTTTTTTTTTTTTTTTGCTATACTGGGTTTAAATTCAGGGCTTTATGCTTGCCTAAGCACTTTACCTCTTGAATATGATAATTGTATTGTGCTAATGTAGGAAAATGTTGCAGTTATTAGGAGACACAAAGAAAAGTCTTTGAGGATCAGTGGTCACAATATTTACAACTTGCTTTTTTTATGATTAACACATTAATCATGCAGACTAGTGAGATTCATTGTGGTATTTCCATACATGCATATATCATATCTTACATGAGTCTATCCACCCTTTTCCTGTCCTCTCCCTGCTTCTTTGTGGTCACCTTGACAGCCCCTTTCTACTTTGAGAACCTCTTTTTTTGTTTGTTTGTTTCCACATACAGAATAAAACATCTGATACTTGTCTTTCTGTCTGGTTTATTTCTCTTAATATGTTTTCTAGTTCCATCCATTTCCTTGCAAATGACAGGATTTTACTCTATGGCTGAATAATACTCTGTATCTATCTATCTGTCTACACATCATATTTTCTTTATTCATTCATCTTTTGAGCAACTTACTTTTAAATTTTTTTTAAAAAGTGTGTGTATACATATAGAGAGTGCAAGACACTGAGTAAACAGGGCCAAATGTTAATTTAGGTAAAAATCTAGGTAAGGGATATAGAAGAATACTTACATATTTTCTGTAGCTTTGATAATTTGAAAAAATACGTGGAGAAAAAAAGAAATGCATAAAAATGTTTACTTAAATATAATTTTTTTTAAGCTCCTTCTACTGAGTTAGTTTCTGGAGGATCTGACAATCAAGTAATTCACTGGGAAATAGAGAATAATCAGGTGGGTAGATCCCTACAATTATAATAAATGACTTATGTTATTCTCAGTTTTTTCCCCTCATTTCTTCTATTTTTCTTTTATGAAGTTCCTTCATTTTTGCTCATTTGTAATCCATATGCTTTATCTTTTTTTTAATGACAGGATCTTGCTATGTAGCTCATACTATCCTTGAACTTGCTATCCTCCTGCCTCAGACTCCTGAGTGCTAGGATTATAGGTATGCACCACCACACCTGGCCTAGATGCTTTATCTTCTGTACTTCATAAGCTCCGAACCCTTCCCTCTATAATTTCTACTCCCATGTTCATATGCTATTGGTAAATTTACTGTTACCTATAAATTTCCTGTTATTTTACATTAATTTTCAAGCTTTTTTCATGAGCTATTCTGTTTTCAATGATAGCAAAAATTAATTCTGCTGTGTTAATGTGGCAACTGCTATCATATGAACCTGGATCTATATAGTTCTCAGTGCTGTTGTATGCATTGTGTAGTATGGATGGTATGGATTGGCCTCTATCGGCAAATGGGTAAGTAAGCAAAGAATAAAAATGAAAAACTTAGTGCACTAGATATTTGAACATCTGCCACACAGAAGACAGATGAGGTAGAGTTCTACGTATAAGACAGGTAAGTTTTAAAGATGACATGTACTTGCAGAACTAAAAACAAATGACTCCAGGGTGATAAGTGTGCTAACTGGCTGCTCTACAGCCATTGTGCTGTGAAAGTTCACAAGAGATTTAAAAGTTGGCCTTTGAATTGGGTTTTAAAGTGTAGGGTTATTGCTTTGGGAGAAATTAAAAGGAGTGATGATTCTAGGTAGGAAAAAAAAATGGTGATTCCCAAACTTATTACATGTTTGAACCTTTTTACCCCAGTCTTAAATCTCTTAGCATCCCTTGAACCCTGAGGAACACAGTTTTGGAAAGGTTGCTAGACAGTACATTGTAGGTGGTAGTACTAGAGAAACAGAATAGAAGATCATGTGGGAATCTGAATACTAACTTTTAAGAGTTTGTTCTTAGGACATATGTGGTGGCTCACCCCCTATAATCCTAGCACTCAGGAGGTTGAGGCACGAGGATCAAGAATATAGGCCAGTCTGGACTAGACAGCAAGACTCTGTCTCAAAAAATCCAAACCAAAACAAAAACGTTGGTCCTTGGGCTAGGGATATAACTAAGTGGAAGAACCCTTGTCTAGGGCTTGAGTCCCTGGATTCCATCTTCAACACTGCAAAAGCAAAACAAAAGTTCTTTATTAGCAGGCATGTGGAAATCAGTGATGATTTCTAAACAAAGGATTATAACAATCAAAAGAAGATTAATCTGATAGCAGTATCTCAGAGTAGGAAAAAATATGAAAGAAAGAATATGGGGCCTATTTGTAAAGGAAAAAAAGATTTTAGCATTGACAGATTGATTGTCAAAGGAGCGGGAATCTGACAGGCAGGGGAATGAGTAATAAAAAACCATGAAATTTTGTTTTAGGCCCCTTGGAAAAAGGTGCTTCTATAGAAAGAATAGGCAAATAGGAAGATGTGGAATCAGTTTTAGACATGTCATTTGAATCGCTGATGCCCAGACTTCTCAGAAATAGAGGGCAGTTGTGGCGGTTGGATTTTGGAACCACCTGGACTTGAATTAGAGAACCAAATGGTGGACTATAACAAACTTGGCTCTTGCTTGGACCAATCTTGCTTGCCCAGAGAGGGGCATTTGAGTGTTTATTTTTGAGACATTGAGGTGAGACTTGCAAGACTTTCCTCAGTGCTTCCCCAAGCTCTTCCTGACAGTTGAGAGAATTCAGGCTGAACAAGTATCTAATGGCAGACAGTGGACTTGTGGGACAGAGATTGCATGCGAGCCCAGACAGGGAAGATAAGAAAAGGGGACTGAAAGGCATAAAAGAGGAATGAAGGGAATAAGAGAATCAGGGGAAGGGGTCACACTTTACAAGTTCTTTCCCATGTGCATTTCTATGCACATAGGTGCTCAGTGCACCTTGATTGCTGAAAAAAGGAAGTAATTCTAAACTGATGCAGTGAGAGGTTTGGGCCTTTGAACTGTGAGCATTGTTTTTTAAGATGGTCAACCTGATTTGTTTTTAAAAATTCTCTGATGGCTAAACTGTAACCCTGCTTACAGATGTGAAATTAGTATTTTTTTTTTAACTTTTTTTTTGCATTTTTTTATTGTTTTATTATTCATATCTGCATACGAAATTAGTATTTTCAATAGATTTAAGTTTTTAGGGGATAATGATATAGACTTATGTAAAGAAAGTTTATAAATATGGAGAACTAAAAGAGGAAAAAAACTATACAAAATCTGAGCAGAGTTAATTTTCTGAGGAACATCATCCTGTATCTCTGGAATATAACATCTGTCATTATTCATTAAAGAAGTTATACTGTACATGAGTCTTTTAAAAATATTTTTTCAAAGATGTCAAAGGTTAATGATTAAAGGAAGTTAGTGTATGAACCCTTAGGCATAAGTATTACCTATTTTCTTGGGCGGCAGAGCTCTGCTTAAGAGTTGAGAAAACAAATCAAGAAATATTAAGGAACACTCCTATTTCAGTAGCTGAGAACTTAGAGAAGAGACCTCTCAGAAGAAGTGATGTAATCTCACACATTTGAAAGAAACTCTTAAAAAAAAATACATCTGGACTGAGAGTGTAGCTCAGTGGTAGGGCACTTACCTAGCATGTACCTGATCCTGGGTTTGATCCACAGCACTGAAAAAAGAAAAGACACAAAAGGTTGTTTGTGGCTAGGATGCTAGAGGGAATGTTGTATGACAAGTGGATAACTTGATAAGCAAATGGGATTTCCATATCTCTGTTCCATTTTTCTATCTTGTTGCCATGCTTGATTTGGGCAAGTATCAAGAGTACATGCTAGGTGTGTGTGCTGATGGCGTCACTTGGAGCCTGGGGTGCTGCACACGGGGGTTGAGATCTGACAATGGCCAAGAACAAACTAAGAGGGCAGAAGTCCCGGAATGTATTTCACATAGCCAGTCAAAAAAACTTTAAGGCTAAAAACAAAGCAAAATGAGTTACCACAAATCTTAAGAAGATAAAAATTGTAAATGATGAAAAAGTTAACAGAATGAATAAAGCTTTTGTAAACATACAGAAGGAACTTGCACACTTCTCAAAAGGCCTTTCTCTTGAACCTCTGCAGAAAGAGCTGATTCCTCAGCAGCATCATGAAAATGAATCAGTTAATGTTGATGAAGCTACAAGATTAATGGCTCAGTTGTAATAATTCTCTTGAAAAAACAATAAATTAAATGTTTTATAAACACAAAAAAAGTAAATGCTAAAAGTACTTTGTAAACATTTGATGGGGAATAGACTCAATCCCAAAGTATGGTCAGATATTATCACCAAGAAAGATTTTAACTTGACAGTGAAAAAAAAAATGGCAGATACTACCTTTACAAAGGTAATGAGGCTAACATGAGTAAAATTTGGACCATTTGACTGGTGCCTCTTGATGTGATGCATTTATCTCGAATCTGTTCATGAGGGGATATCAGACTAATCCAAAAGGAGGCTTATTCCACAAAGCTGGCCTGTATTCTTTAAAAATGTCCATGTCATGGACATCTTTCCATAGCATAGGCATATATTTACCTATATTATCTTTTTTTATTGGCTACAATGGATGTCTACTATAATTAATCAGTTTTAATAATCCATTGATTGTGATTTTTCACTATTATAAACATGATATGGTTAATATCCTTCTTTGTCTTTTTAATATTTATTGCACCATGCTATTCTCAGTAAATTCTCAAATGTGAGATCTCTTATCAGAGAGTGTGCATGTGCTGTTAGACTTCATTCTCTTCAACTTAGAGGATCTACCTATGAGTCAGACATTATTTTTTGGAGGGTGTGTGTGTGTCAAGCATTTTAACAGTACCTTTAATCCTGTGATTCCTGCTGAATAAAAGTGAAACTGATAATTCCTTTTTTATCATAATGCTTTTGTCATTCTTTGTGATTCAGCTTTTAAAAACAGTCTCTCTGCAAGGCCATGAAGGACCTGTTTATGCAGTGCATGCTGTTTACCACAGGGGAGCACCAGCTACTGCGCAGACACTGATAGCTTCTGCAGCTGCAGATTCTACTGTCAGACTCTGGTCTAAAAACGGTTCAGAAGGTAGGTTTGGAGGCATAGTGGGGGCTCAGGATGGACTTTTCTTATCTCCCTGATGACATCCAGACTATGACAGTACTACCAAACATTTTTTTTTTTTTTTTTTTTTTTTTTTTTAGTAACATGCATTCAGACCTTGAACTTTGGAAATGGATTCACTCTAGCTGTTTGTTTATCTTTTTTGCCTAACACTGATGGTGAGTATCTTGCTAAGTACATTAAAAAACAATGTTTGCACATCTGCATATGAACAGAACTTAAAAGATATGTGCTAGGCCTGAATTTTGTTTGTTTGCATTTTGTTTCTTCTCTGGTGCTGGGGATGGAACCAAGGGCCTCAAATGTGCTAGACAAATGCTTTACCACTGAGCTGTATTCCCAGCCCTGTATCTCAGTAGTATCATGAAATAATTGAGGTGTAGATATCATACTTTTGTTACAATATTCTAATGACCTAAGTGTAGAACACAAATTTAAGAGACACGAGTAGGAATTTTGGTAGCTATTGAAAATTTAAATGATTTAATATATACTCAAGATCGATACTAATTATTAACTATATTGTGGATGTATATAAGTCTAATTTGGGGAAAGTACATAATTCTTTAGAAGATGAAGATGAGATAAGTTGAAAAAGTACTGAAGATAGACCATGCAAGCATTTTTTTCAAGATGAAACTTCTTTATATCCTTCATAAGCACAGTTTGCCTGAGACCACTCAAAATATCCAAGTCATCTGTAATTATCCTTTCTTTATTGTCCACAGAGAGGTTGGTCAATATAAGCCAGTCATTCTCTTCATATCCTTTGCCAACTGGAGATCAAACCTCTGTAGAGAGGCAGGGCCTGGAAGTGCAAGCCTTCTTGCCCTCTGTCCTCTGTAACAGGTGCTGTGGCTCTTTGCTTTCTTCTCTGGCCTTCATTTTGCACAAGGGTTCCCAGGGAAGAAAAACCTGTAAACATTCTACTTTCATAAGATAAATTTAATTTCTTCTCATCAACATTCAAGCCAAGTGAATAAGTTGTTCTTTTGTGTTGTTTTTTAAGTTGATTTAAAATGAGAACAACTTTGCAAAACATATTTGGTAGCAAGGCGTTTGCTTAGGAAAAAAGTCCTTGTTGTGCTCCCGAGTCAGGTGGCTGTCTTTTGGTAATGTGAGTTTGTTTTTCATTTCTTAAAGTTAATTTTATTCACACTTTTCATAGTTTTTTGAGTAGATATTTAGTTATATGCTCATGTATTTTAATACTGAATTCATTCTCAAACAAAATGTTAAGTCCTTGAAGGGAGAATGACAGCTTTCAACCTTTGTGTAGAGACTGTGATGTTGGATGCAGTGTATCTCTTTATTATTCAGTTGGGCTAACGGCTTTTCCTATAGCTCTCCTGGCTGATGTCTTGAAGGGACCCTGCTTGCCTTTGAGCTTCTTTCACTGCTCCTTCCATCGTAAACAGTACTGTCTTGCTTAGTTCATAGCTATTATTTGCCAAATAACCATCAAATAGGACATTTAGTGTGCCCATTTTATTCCTAGAAACATGCATTGAGCACTTTCAACTTATTTGTTCGGTGGTGTTGAGAAATAGAAGTCAGGATGCTTTACACAGAGTTTGGAATACACATAGGTGATCATAGTTATGGTACTTACAGTGATACTTCTTTTTTCCCCTCCCAGTACCAGTATTAGCATGTGGTGATGATGACTGCAGAATTCACTTATTTATTCAACAAGATGATCAGGTAATTAATGATGTTTTTTAAAGAGACTAGAATTAGGTGATATATCTTAATACAGGCTACTTCCAGGTTATAGAATATTAAGAATGGCCTGATCCAAACCGAAATAATCCAATAGCAGAATCTTTTTTAGACAGTTCTCTTTTAGATAGTCTTGCACTCTTTGAATACCAAGTAAATGCTGCCTTGGCCACCAGGACCAGAGTTGTTAGAAAGTAGGTTGCTAGGTGGGAGGAAGGAGAGAAGAAAGATGCCGTTGTAGTATTTTGTTCTTAAAAATTTGTAATGAGGTATAATATACCCACTAGTAATATTTATTTGTCCTACTGAACTTTATCTCCACTTTGGGTGTCTAAACTAAGGGAGAGAAGTTCCAGAAATGGTAGATAAACCCAGTTTTCTTATAATGAAGCTACTTGTTTCTTTGCATTCTGTAAGAAAATTAAAGATTGTTGTGAAAGTCCATTTATCCAGCTTTTCTATACTATATCCACAGTATGTATCATTTTATCTTGTAAACATTTAAATTATTTGATATCTACAGATACATTATCTGTTCAGGGTTGCTCAGTGAATGATTTAGATGTTGCATGATGAGATGTTTTATTCCCAAATGAGTGCTTTATCCTTACCTGATCAGGAAGTGTTCTCAGTAAAAGTGGTACAGTAGGATTGGTTGAGACCAAATGAATTTACTGATATACCTGAAACTGTTAAATTCTTCATCAAGCCCAATGATTTCTGTTATCTTACTAGTTTCAGAAAGTTCTTTTTCTCTGTGGACATGAGGATTGGATAAGAGGCGTGGAATGGGCAGCCATTGGTCAGTATGAAGCCTTGTTAAAGCACACATAATGGGGACAAGATCTATAACTTTTAGAGAAGTAGTCCCTTCTGTTTTAATTTTTTATGTGTTACATTTTTTTTATTGTCCCAGCTAGAAAAGGGGACACTTATCCCTTCTGTTACCTTCTAATTGGGTGGTAGAGGATGAAACAAATTGGTATTTATAAGATCACACTAGCTGTCTTATCTAAATGCAGATGTTCTTGGAAAGTTCTTTGAAGAACTTAGTGAAGGAGCTGTAAGAGTATCACTTGTATCATTTGTTATAAACATTTGTTAACACTGTTGTATGTTTGTCAATGTTATTAAAAGTGAACATAGGGTAAGGAAACTAAGTTTTGGGCAACTCTAGAAATATACATATCATAGAACAGAAAGTCTTATGCCTAAATTTAAGGATATAATCTTTTTAAAATAAAATATTTTTTAATTAGGTAGAGATCTTTTCCTAGCAAGTTGTTCACAAGATTGCCTGATAAGAATATGGAAACTGTACATAAAATCAGCATCTTCCGAAACTCAGGATGATCATATAAGACTGAAGGAAAATACTTTTGACATTCAAAATGAAAGTGAGTAGCAGTGAAAACATCTAGTACAATAATGATTAGTTCTTCTAGCTGATCCATTTGTCTCTGTGAAGGTTAGTTTTTAAGAAGTGTTGGATCCCTACCTGAACTATGCATATTTTAGGTTTTATTTTTATGTGAGGATGATTTATTTTTTATATTTGAGACTTATTTTTCTCCTAAATAATATAAATTATTTTAAAATTGCTGAAAGTAATTGTTTAGTGTTTCTCAATAAATCATGAAGTATTACTAGATTTGCATTTTAACATAGGAATATCTAAAAGAATGGCGTAAAATTATCCATAATTTTGTTGGAGTATATTCTTAAGAGGTAAGCTAAATTCTAAATCCCTACATTGGAGTTGCATATGTAATTCTGATCGTCTTACTGGGTAGCATTAGAATAGTACTCTTGCTTGGTGCATCCTGATGGAATGTTGTATTTGAGAAAGGTATTTTTGGATTTGTACCTAAATTATTACACATCATTAAGCGTTGCTCATCTAAGTATATTGTTCTTTATTACTCTTCTTGATTTTAAAGCTCATTAGAGTTGAGATTTTGGTAGTAGTGTTCTATAGAGAAAATGAAGAAATGATATAACCAACATATTATGATATAACCAACATATACCCAAAAATGAAATTTTTCATTATACTTTCATTATTTTGTTTTTAAGTTCCATAATACCGATTTAGTTTACCTTATTTCTGCATTTGTCTTCAACTTTTTTTTTCTTTTTCCCCCAATACTAATGTTTGAGCTCAGGGGCTTGTGTTTGCTAGGCAGGCTCTCCCATGCCCTTAAACCTTTTTTTGCTTTAATTATTACTTAAATAATGTCTTGCATTTATACCTGAACTGACTTGGACTATGTTCCTCCTATTTATGATTCCTGTGTAGCTGGAAAGATAGATGTGCGCCACCACTTCTAGCTTATTAGGGTCTTACCAACTTTTTACCTGGGCTAGAACCACAATACTACTGATCTCTACCTCACAAGTAGCTAGGATTCTGGTATGAGCCACTGCAACTGGTTTTAAATTTTTTAAAATGCAATGGGCTCTGGTGGCTCATGCCTGTAATCCTAGCTACTCAGAAGGCAGAGATCAGGAGAATCGTGGTTCAAAGCCAGCCCGGGCAAACAGTTCATGAGACCCTATCTTGAAAAACCTTTCACAAAAAATAGGGCTGGTGGAGTGGCTGAAGGTGAAGGTCAAGCCCCAGTACCGAAAAAAAAATTTTTTTGAAATGCTCAGTGTATATTTAGAGGCGTGGTACTCGGGTTTGAACTCAGGGTCTCATGCTTGCTAGGCAGGTCCTCCACCAAGTGAGTCATGCCACCAGTCCTTTTTATTTTGGTTATTTTTTTATTATTATTATTCATATGTGCATACATTGTTTGGGCCATTTCTCCCCCATTTTGGTTATTTTTGATGTAGGAGCTCACATTTATGCCCTGGCCAGCCTGGACTGTGATCCTTCTGCTTATGCTTCCCACATTTCTGGGATGACAGGCAACCACCTCCACACCTAGCTTTTATTGGTTGAGATGGGGTCTCATGAACTTTTTACCCAGACTGGCCTAGCACCATGCTCCTCCCAGTCTCCACTTCCCAAGTAACAAGAATTATAGGTTTCAGCCACTGTGCCTGGCCTAGGCTATTATATTTTGATAACAAGTGAGAAAACAGGCTGGCTTGTCTATTTCTGCTTTTTACTTTCTTTTAATTAAGATTTACTTATGATTGAGGGCTACAGAATGAACCCAGGGCCTCTCAGTGTACCACTGAGCTATACCCAGTCCTATTTTTTTAACTGATAAAAATATAAAAATCGGTCATGTGCTGTTTCAATACATATGTATGTCATGTATAGTTTTGATTTTTTAATTTCAGCATTGCAGCTATTTTAGAAAATTTTGAAAAAAATAAAACATTTCTTAGTAGTTATTTATGATTAGGTAGAGAAAATATACACAAAAATTTATTTTTAGAACTTTTTCTCATTTAATTTTGTACAGTGAGCGAGATTCCTAAAATTTAGAATGCATGTTCTTTTTACTGAATTTCAACTATTATGTTTTGTTCTAAAGTTTTTAACATAATTGTACAACTGACTTAGTTATGCAATTGTTCTTTTTAGAAGTGCGTTAAGGAAAAAACACCTTTGTTGCTTTTGTTGTAGGTATTAAAATCACATTTGCCATTACCTTGGAGACTGTGCTGGCTGGTCATGAAAACTGGGTAAATGCAGTTCATTGGCAGCCCTCATTCTACAGAGGTAGGAAGAAGAACATACACACATCCCTTATTTCAGCTAAATCTCAAGGTGTTTTTAAGCTGACAAGCAGAAGTGGAAGTTTTTTTAATGTAATTAGCAGTCTCAAATACAAAATGTTTTCAAGTTGACAGAGTATAAGCCTGTAATTCCTGGTGTGCTGGCACTCAGTTCCAGTGAAAATTGCATTCTTAAGTGACAAAGTATGATTCCTGCCATGCTGCTGGAACTACCACAGTCTCATTAGCTTTGTCTCTTAAAAGTTTCTATGTAGTTTTTGCAGGATTTAAGAAAAATTGACTTTCACACCAATGTCACTAGAACCTTTAGCCTTGGTAATATGAAGTTGGTAATACTGAGGTACATTACTTATGGAAAAGTAATAGTCTCTTTTCCCTTCTGTCTTTTACTCTTGACCTCCATGTATGGCATGGTGGTTTTATTCTGCCCAAGCTGGTGTTCATATAGAGCTAAGCAAGGCATAGCCTCATATTCTTCCCCCAACCCCTTCCCCAAGACAAGAATAGCCACAGTTAATACTCAGGTGATCATTCAGCTCTCATTTTCATTATGACTTACTTGCCACAGTTTCTTTATTATTACCATCATCATCAGAGTTTTCTCTTTTCAGGCCAACTTTGATGCAGTGTATACTTTGCCTAGTGGCTTCTTTCATTCCAACCCATAGCCCCTCATTTTTCCCAGCCAAAGCCCTTCATTGTCAGTTAACAAGGGTATCAGTACCTACTCTGTGTCAAGGGTTACTGCCTTACTGTCTCTGCCCCATAGAACCAACTAGCTGTGTAATTTTAGCAGCTGAAGCTTAATTTAAAAATAAGAAAGGACTTGGCATGGTGGTTCATGCCTGAAATTCCAGCACTTGGAAGGCAGAGACATTGCCAGTTTGAGGTAGACTGGGCTACATAGTGAAGATCCTGTCTCAAAAAACCAAAAACAAACAAAAAGAAAAAAAAGAAGTAAAGCTTATCTTATTTTTACTAATAATTAAAAGTCATATTCTACTGTTAAATAAAAATAAGACAAGCTATTGTTTTGTACTAAACTCTTATACCAGGCCCCAACAGAACAGACTGAAAATCAGAATGGAATCATTCATTTTAAAGTTTCGTATCACCAATCTGAAACTAAGCTTCTAATCTGACTTCCAAGAAAAATCAGGATTAGAGTGATAGCCACATTTTCCAGTTTTAATACTGATAATATATATATATATTTATATGTGATAGCATAGATATTGAGAACCTCTATATGTTCTTTTGAATCTTTTCATTCCATCTTTCTATGGAGACAACCGTATTCAGTGTATATTATTCTCATGTATTTGTATTTTATTATCTATTTATATCATCATAAATAATATTTTATAGTTATTAAAATGTTATCAGTATGTATTTGTCCTTTTTTGGAGTGTCTTTTTAGTTTATCTATATTGACTCATGTAGCTGTAGTTATTTTTTATTACATTATAATATTCATTGTTTGAATATATCACTTGTTATCTGTTCTTCTAATGTAGGTCTTTTACTATTATGCAGATTTTTGCTGTTAACTTAACAGTGTTACATGAATGTTGTTACAGTACCTCTGGGTTTTTTTTTTTTTTCTGGTAATCTAGAAATGTTATGTTTGTTGATCACCTAAAGGCATTACTTTTATTCTTTAGATGGTGTTCTCCAGCAGCCAATGAGATTGTTATCTGCCTCAATGGATAAAACCATGATTCTCTGGGCTCCAGATGAAGAGTCAGGAGTTTGGTTAGAACAGGTAAAATGTGACTATTTAAGGAACAGAAAATTGGGCTTTGTGAACTAAATGTATAACTCCCAAATATATATTCCTAGAACTATAAATTTTCCCTCTTTGTATACACTAAATGAGTTGTAACTTAATCTCTAGGATCCATTTCCATTGTGAGAAATGGTTCTCTTAGTTGAGAATTGTTTTCTGTCTGCTGTGTTGTAGGTTCGAGTAGGTGAAGTGGGTGGAAATACTCTGGGATTTTACGATTGCCAGTTCAATGAAGATGGCTCCATGATCATTGCTCACGCTTTCCACGGAGCATTGCACCTTTGGAAGCAGGACGCAGTTAACATGGTAAGAAAAGCTCTTTTAAAGCATTTCTAATCAAATAGCATGACTCCTAAAGAAAACCCTAGCTAAATAGTGTTTTGCTTATAATACTCTACAAAGCACATACTAGAGGCATTTTGAAATGATACCACTTATCTCTGTGGAAACATACTGTTCTTGTACTAGGAATAAACTCATACTTTTCTAAGAAGAGTACAGATTTGTAAAGCGTGGAGTGGTTGAGGCTTAAATGAGTGAATATTTGTGTGGAGCTGGACTCTATAGCTTAATGGTAGTATACTTGCCTAGCATGTGCAAGGCCCTGGGTTGATCACCAGCACCAACAACAACAACAAAAAAAGTTTTTGTATGAAAATCAGAATTTGAGTGTTTATATATAATTTGATTTTTGTGTTTTGGGGAGGGTATTGAGACAGGGTCTTGATATGTAGTCCAGGCTGGCCTCAAACTTGTGCCTTAGCCTCCCCTGTGCTGGGATTACAGGCATGCACCACCACACCTGGCTTATATTTAAAATTAAATAAATATTTGAAAGAAATAAAATTACTGAGTGAAATGTGACTCATCAGATTCTTAATGTGCACCTGAGGACTTCCTTTATGAAATAAAAATTCATGGATTTGTATAACTTTTAGTTTGTGGGCTTTGTAATAGTGTCACCCATGAGGTTTTGACTTCTCAATTTATGGGGAAATTTTCTCTTTCTCTTGCCTCCTCCACTTGTAGTTGCTCTTTTAAGATTGCTTCCATTATTTAACAAACCAATGAATTGTAAGCTATGACACTATTGAGTTAGGAAATATTTTTAACAATGAATTTTATTTTTGTACCTCACCTGGTCTTTGAGGGTCTTCATAGAAAAAAAGCATCAGATGAATTAGGAGGAGCCCAAGCCAGAAGATAGAATCTCACTGTACTTGTGCTTATCCTTTGACTTCTCAGGTGTTCAGTGTAATTTGTTTTTTAAATGGACCTTATTTTTTAAAGCAGTTTTGGGTATGGAGCAAAACTGAAGAGAAAGTAGAGTTCTTACATTCCTGTGACTTAACACATGCTCAGCCTCCCTCACTATCAATATCTCACACCAGCATGGTGCATCTGTTACAAGCAAGATGATTTTTAAAAACAGATGGGACTTTTACTATGAAACCTGGCTGGTAGTTGAAAAGTGCTTTCTATTGCTCAGAACTTTTTATAAACTCCCATTAGTGCTAACTTTAGAATCTGGTTTTGCATCACAGAAGAAATTTGTACCATTTCTTTGTCACAATATTTTTTTGTTTTTGACCAGAAATAATATAGCTTAGCTTGACTGTATTCATCAGACTTGGCTTTGAATGGCCTGTCAGTTATTTGTACAAATTTCATTTTTCTCTAATAGTTGACTTTGATTATTCAAACAGAGACTGTGGACCAGACACATGTCATTTTCTACACTTTGTTGTCATCTCTTGTTTTATGTGGTTGCCATTGCAAGCGCCTCAGTAGGTGGGCCAGTTAGGTGTGATCCAGTTTTCTGTCCTTCACACCTGTGACTCCTTTTACTTAATGAAGAACGAGAGCATGCTGCCAGTGGCATGGGCCTGTAATTCTGCTACTTGGGAGACTGAGATCGGGATCAAGGTTCAAGGGCAGCCCAGGCAGGAAGTTGAAAAGACTCCATCTCCAAAATAACCAGAACAAAATGGACTGGAGGTATATTTCAAGCGGTGCTTGCTTTGCAAGCACAAAGCCCTGAGTTCAAACCTTAGTCACTCAAAAAAAAAAAGAAAGAAAACTGCAAGGCTTACACTCAGAATCTACTGACTGATTTTATATGGTACTCTTTATTAAATACAGAGTACTTGATATGTGCCAGCATTCTTCCACATAGTTTATGAGTATGAACTCATTTAATCCTCTTTAATGTGCCTGTAAGGTAGCTGCTGTTATTGTGATGCTTGCTTTACAAGAGTTAATTGAAGCATGGAAAGATTAAGTTATGTCTGGCTGCTAGGAGACAGTCAATAAGTGATGAATGGAGAGAAATCTCCCACAGTTACTGTTTCAAAGGGTTCAACATATATTTGAATATTTAAGTTGTGATATGTTGGTTGAAAAACAGATCCTATTATTTTATGATCACATCTTGTATATTTAACTTTGACCTTGCAGAGGTCTTCACTGTTCCATGTTACCAGACATGAGTGCTTGACTTTGAGTGGTGGTAGTTATTTATTTATTTATTTATTCATTTATTTAGCATTACTGGGGTTTGAACTCAGGGCTTCAGGCTTTCTAGGCAGGTGCTCTTACCACTTGAGCCATGCCTCCTGCCCTTTGATTATTTTGATGTATGTTATGAGAACTTTTGTTGCAGAAAGAGTGGACTCCAGAGATTGTCATTTCAGGACACTTTGATGGTGTCCAAGACCTAATGTGGGATCCAGAAGGAGAATTCATTATCACTGTTGGTAGTGATCAGACAACTCGCCTTTTTGCTCCATGGAAGAGAAAAGATGAATCACAGGTAAAATGTCTTCCTACTTAAATAATCCACTAAAATAAACTTCTATGAGCACATAAAAAGTAGGGCAGCAAAATGTTTGCCATTAGGAAAAGGCAGATTAAAACCATGATGACATACCACTATACGCCCTCTAGATTGGCTGAAGTGAAAAACACTGACAGTAACAAGTGCTAGTGAGAATGTAGAGTGACTGGAACTTTCATGTATTGCTAGTTAGAATACAAAATGTTCTAGCTACTCAGGAGGACAGTTTGGCATTTTCTTAAAAACTTCAACATCTACTCATTACAATTCAAACAATAATTCAAATGTTAGTTGTCAGAATGAGTTGTTTTAGTTTAATTTGGAGCAATGCCTTTAAACACTTAAAAAAATAAATAAAGGGTTGGGTGTGGTGGCTTGCAGGTGTAATCCTTAATACCCTGGAGGTGCTGATAGGAGGACTTTAGTTTAAGATTGACCCAAGCAAAAACATGAGATTCTGCTTGAAAAATAAACTTCCTAACTGTATTCTGCCAGGCCTTCTTTCTTCTACCCAGGTCTGCTCATCACTCCTCTCAGTTATGCTGGGAGCCGGTATCTCATACCATAATCCTAGCTTCTTTGAGAGGCTGAGATCAGGAGGCTCGAGGTTTGAGACCAGCCAGTACAAATAGTTCTAGAGACCACCGCTCCAAAATAACCAGAGCAAAATGGATTAGAGGTGTGGCTCAAGTGGCAGAGTACCTGTTCTGCAAACTTGAAGCCCTGGGTTCAAACATGAGTCCCACCAAAAAAAAGAAAAGAAACAAAAAAAAACTGGGGGTGTGGCTCAGGTGGTAGAATGCTTGCCTAGCAAGCCAAAGCCCTGAGTTCAAACTCCAGTACCACAAAAAAAAAAAAAAAAAATTCAAGGACTGCACCTTCAGTCTAACTCAAGCAGTAGAGTACCTGCTTTGTGTGTGAATCACTGAGTTCAAACCCCACTCCCCCTCAAAAAAATTCCAACTAATTTGTAATATTTTTCTATGGCTCTTGTTGATTCATTACCAATACTGCTCAGTTGCTTATTCATGGATGGATTTGGTCCATGGTCATAGTTCCATGGTATAATACATAAATTTGCATCTGGTATTTTGCTTGTATAAATAAATTTTTTTTAATGTACAAAAAAAAAAATTGGGGGATGGAAGTGTGGTTCAAGTGTAGAGCACCTACCTAGCAAACATAAACCCCTGAGTTCAAACCCCAGAACCACAAAAAAAAAAAATGGTTTTGAATCATATGGTCATTTTTGCTTGTCATATTTTAATTCCCAGGTAACTTGGCATGAAATTGCAAGGCCTCAGATACATGGCTATGACCTGAAGTGTTTGACAATGATTAGTCGGTTTCAGTTTGTATCTGGAGCAGATGAAAAAGTTCTTCGAGTTTTCTCTGCACCTCGGAATTTTGTGGAAAATTTTTGTGCCATTTCAGGGCAATCACTGAATCATGTGCTTTGTGGTGTAAGTATTTTTCTAAGTGTCTTACTTAACTCTAGTCACTTTGTTTTAAAATTCTTGCTTCAGGTGGTAAATGAAGTATAAGGATAGAAAAGAAGGCATACTATTATTATTGGTTTGATAAACTTTTGTTTACATTGTGGTGTGTGATTACTTTAATATTAAACCAAGAAATTTTATTTATTAAATGAGCTCAAAACACCAAAGCAGCACGGCCATGTTTATTTAAGATGTGGCTGTATCTTGACTTGTCACCGTGCTAGGCATCTATGACAAACCATAAGAGACAGGTCCTATTTTCAAGGAGATTATCATCTCTCTGTAGGATGGGGCTCTGGGGCAGTGAACTAACGAAACAAGACCACTTAACTGCTAAGTCTCATGGTACTAAAGTTTCATAGAAGGGAGAATGGAAACACATTTAATGGGACTTCATTTGGATTATGTAAGAGTAAATTTTTATTTTTGTTTGTTTATACCCATTTTCCACAAAAGATTTGCGATACTTATAAAAATACGCAGATTATACAAATTATAAAGTAATTTTGAAGGAAGGGAAATGATGCAGATAGTTATGGTACATAGAAGTTCATGTTATATCATCTTTTACTTAGAGTTAGTTGGGTCATACATTTGGTTCTAAGATCAGAAAGAATAAATGGACTTTGAATTGGCAGAAGGAAGGAGAAAGAGTGAGCTCGAAAGGTATCCAGAGCCATTGCAGTGTATGTTAAACGCTAGGGAAATGGACAGGTGAGGAAAAGTCAAATGGTGGAGGATTGTGGGAGGCAGGCATAGTTGAGACTCTGAGGGTGCTATTAGAAGTCCCTACACAAGACTGTGATGAAAAGCATTTTGGAACAAGGAGAGTTATCTGAGAGTCCAGAGACTAACGACAGAGGAAACCAGCACTAGTTTGGGAAAGACTGGAGAGGAGAGTGAGAGTCACTTGAAGTACCAGCTACATTTCCTGAAGTATTCTCAACTACTCATGTTCCACTCTTCCTTAGTTACATGAAGACAATTTGATTCTGTTCTGCTTGTTTCTAATGACTGACCATGGGAATGAGAGCCAAAGGAGGTCTTGATTGTGGTCATTATATAGATCTTAGCCCTTGGGGGTATAGGGAAGTTATTTTCAAGATCTCTTCAGTTCTAGGGATTGGAACAGAGTTTCATAGGATTCCATGAAAGGCTTATTCCCCGGGATACCTCAGTTCTGTATCCTAAAATACAGGAATCCTAGAGATTGGAATGTCTCTTGCTCTCTTTCTCATTTTATGTCCATACGAAGTATTGGGAAAGTGATACGGGAATGCTTCTTATTGTTCTTTTCCATGCTATGTTATTTTGGTAGGGGGATTCTAAGATAAAGCACGTGGTTACTTGTATCCTATGTAGCCATTCTTGGTCGTTTGCTGGTTTAAATTCATGTTGCTCATTTTTGTGTATAGTCTAGCCCCCCCCCCTTTTTTTTCTGGCAGTACTGGGATTTGAACTCAGGTCCTTATACTTACTAGGCTCTACCACTTGAGCCATTCCTCCAGCCCCTCTTTTTTTTGCTCTGATTATTTTTGAGATAGTCTTGCTTTTTGTTTTGTTGACACTGGGGTTTCAACTCAGGGCTTCGTGCTTGCTAGACAGTCACTCCTACCACTTGAGCCACTCTGCCAGCCCAAGATAGTCTTGCTTTTTGTTTAGACTGGCCTGGACCATGATCCTTCTATTTTTTGCTTTTTACAGTAGCTGGGATAACAGGCGTGTGCCACCATGTCCAACTTTTTCCTGTTGAGATGGGGTCTTATGAACTTTTTTTTGCCCTAGCTGGCCTAGAACCTCAATCCTTCTAATCTCAGGTGCTCAAGAAGCTAGGATTACAGGTATGAGTCACTGACACCAAGCTCTAGCCCCTGTTTTTGTTTTTCTTTTAAATCATTTTGTTGTTTATTTGGGTTTTTTGAGACAGGGTCTTACTATGTAGCCTAGGTGGGCCTTGAATTTGCAATCCTCCTGGCTCAGTTTCCTGAGTGCTGGGATTATATCCATGTACCACCATTCCTGGCAAAGCTCCTGTATTAAAGTTTAAATTGTACTAAACACTCTTAGCATATGTGCCAATCTTTAGATGGTTAGCATATGGTTTCACATATAATTGCCTTAAATTGTAGGATCTAAGCAGAGTATTGTCTCATCAGATAGCACCAAGTTTTAAAACATAGTTTTCAGTTATTTAAATATGTTTAATGTAAGTAATGTTTTGCAGGAAGCATCTGTATTTACATGACCATCATCAAGGATGTGCCTATGAAAATAGAAGGCTCCAGGCCTTCTCTTTTCAGCCTATTGCATTTCTTGTTAGATCGCAAAATCCATTGAACTTTTGGGGTTTGATGAATTTATGGATTAGAGGATGCCTGATTTAATGAATTGGGTGGGATCGAAGGTTAGGGCCCATCTGTTGGAGATTGGTTGCTCAGCATTGCGTCTGTTGGTTCATGAAGTAGAAGAATGGGCAGATATTCACATGAGGTAGTCTAGAAACTGCCTCTCAGAATTTTGGTGCACATGTGTGTGGGAGTACTGAGTGCACTTGCTAGGCAGGCACTCAGCCACATGAGCTATAACCCTGCTTTTTTTTGCTTCAGTTGTTTTTCAGGTAGGGTCTCATGTTTTTGGCCCAAGGCCAGCCTGGGACCATCATCCTCTTACCTATGGCCTCCAGGTAGCTAGGATCACAGGCACATGCCACCACTGCCCTGCTTACTGATTGAGATGGGGTCTCATTAACTTTTTGCCTGGGTTGGCCTTGGACCTCAGTCCTCTCATCTCTGTTTCCAGAGTAGTTGGGATTACAGGTGTGAGCCACTGCCCCCAGTCTGCTTCTCAGTATTTATAAGCATGACTTTTTATACTGCCTGTGGTAACATAACTGTTTAAAACTTACATGTCATATTTTTTATTCTAGCAAGGCAGTGATCTTCCAGAAGGAGCTACTGTCCCTGCGTTGGGACTATCAAATAAAGCTGTCTTTCAGGGTAAGGCTTTGATCTCCAAAATTATTGAACCCATAGTGGTACTTTAAACTTAGTTACACACTTAGTTAAACTTAGAACACACCTAATGTTCATTACAGCTAATTTTTTTTGATGTATGTAATACATACATCAAATACTTTGTGATAAATACTGTGTGTACAATGTAGACCACTGAATTAGGTGCAGCTTTCACGACTTGGTTTACAGAGCAGTGCAATCACAGATGTGAATGTGGACAACTTGAGAAATCTGTTGTGTAGTTAAAAAGTTTGTGAACTGTTAGGTCAGGAAAATGGAAGGAATCTTTATGGACTTGTTTAATCTTCCAGGAGCTTGTTTGGAAAATGCTGAAGTAGTAAAAATCTTTTGTCTTTGGAATCACATGGACTCAGTTTTGAAATACCTCTCTTTGAGGTACTGCTGCTTTCTTATGGGTAGACTTATATTGAGACACTGTAAGAGACATGGAGATAGTGACTCCCTTCATGGTGTTGGTGTGTTTCTTTAAACTAGGAGATATAGCTTCTCAGCTTTCTGATGAAGAGGAGCTGCTGACTCCTACTGGTTTTGAGTATCACCAGGTGGCCTTTCAACCGTCCCTACTTACTGGTAAGAAATGACAAAAAATGATTTAATAAAATCGCTAGTACAGTATGGTATCTGTTTCTGATGACCTAAGTAAGTGCTTTTGTATCTGGCTAAAAGTAGAAAAAATAATTGCAGTACTATTAATTTATTATAGAACCTCCCACTGAGGATCATCTTCTGCAGAACACTTTGTGGCCTGAAGTTCAAAAACTGTGAGTTCAACTGGGTTCTTTGATCTGACATAACTTGAGGTTTTATTTCCCCTACAACTTGATTTTTTCCTTTGCCTCCCTTCTACATACTTTTTCCTTCTGCTCAATAAACTTTGAATGGTTCTTCAAAGAGGTGAGAATCAAACTTCACATTGGTTTTTATATTACTATTTATTATACTTACCAGGTTTGTTGTCTCAGTTTCTAAATAAGAGAAGCATGACATTAATACATGTTTTTACTTTTTAAAAATGACCTAAGCTTTATTATTCCTCTGGTCCTTTTTGTCTTTGATGATTCCTATCAACATCTTTCCAATGTTTGTTGGACTGACTGGTTTGGGGTGGAAGGTGGAAACTTGAATATTAATCTACTTGTTTGAATGAGTTGTGTCTCTGTCTCCCTGGTTTTTTCCCAAATATTTGCTTAACAAAAATGTGCTGTTCTTCAGAAGCATTGCATGCTCACTGGAGAGGTTGATGTTATTCTTTTTACTTTTAAATTTTTTGCAGCATGAGAATAGGTTCATTTACTAATACAGTGGTTGTATATTTTCTTTTTAAATTTTAGATATGGACATGGTTATGAAATATTTTGTGTTACTTGTAACAATTCAAAGACTCTGCTTGCTTCAGCTTGCAAGGTAGGGAGTTTCACTTTTGCTTCTACCTAGTTACAGGTTACTAGGGTCACCAGGCTCCTGCAAGTTTGATAGAGATATAGACAGAACTCTACATGAAAAACCAACTGGCAACTGCTTTTCCTGAAACTTATTTTCTCAAGTTCTCTTTCATCTATATCCCTCAAAGGCTTGCAGTTGCATTTTAAGTCTATATTAGCCATACATTTTTGTTCTTAAATACAGATAACCCTTGACCAATGTAAGGGTCGGAATGCTGACCCCTGCTAACAGTGAAAAATATGCATGTAACTTCTTTTCCTTTCTTTTTTTGACCATGCTGGGTATCGAACCCAGGGCCTCATGCATACTAGGCAAGTGCTCTACCACTGAGCTACAACCCCAGCCCTACACATATAACTTTTGACTTCTTACAATAGCAACAGGAGGTGACTATGAAGTTATTGTGTTAGTACAATAATTATGTAATAGACTTACATATATTTTATGATATTAGATGATAAAATATTATCTTCACATGTTTTATGCATTCATTACATAACTTTAAGTTTTATTGATATTTCTAGGCTGTGTGGTTCATCAAATATTGTTCATCCTTGCACGTTTTCAAATTGTTGAAAATCTCCAAAATAATCTTTGTAAGTGGACCCATGTGGTTCAAACCTGTGTTAGTCAAGAGTCAGTTGTATTTCCTTCTGTTACAGGGACTGGTGAGAAGAACAAATGACTTTTCTAATGAGCAGCTAATTTGTTTTTAGCTTAGAGCGCTGTCAGTCATGTAATTGATTATTTTTCCCTTTTCAAGTTGGCTTTTTTGTTTTTCTGGTAGTTTTATGGTTTGAACTCAGGTTCTTGTGCTCGCTAGGCAAGTGCTCTGTGCTCTATCACTTGAACCATGCCTCCAGCCCTTTTTGCTTTAGTGTTTAGTTTTGTGTTTCCCACAGTAGGGTCTCTTGGTTTTTTTGCTTGGGACTGGCCTTGGACTGAGATCCTCTTGTGTAGCTAGGATTATAGGCATGTGCCACCAGACCTGGCTTCTTTTTTTAAGATAAACTTTTTTTTTTTGCCCGGCTGGCCTCCCAACTCTGCTTTTTTGTTTGTTTGTTTTTGAGGCAGGGTTTTGCTATGTAGTCCAGGCTGACCTCAAACTCAAGATTCTCCTGCAGCAGCTTCCTCAATGCTAGGATTGCAGGGATGTGCCACCATGCCTAGTTCCATATTTCTTTTAGAGTACCATGTTTAGCAGCTTTATTTAGGTGTCATAACATACTATTAATTGCATGTTTAATATGAATAATTTGATAATTTTTGAAATATGTGTATCCTGTAAAATCACCACCACATCAAGATAATGACCATATCCATCAACTCCCCAAAGTTTCTATCTTGGCATAGAAAATTCCTCTTTCCTGCTTTCTCCTGCCCCTCTTGCCTGAATCCCTAGGAAACCACTGATCTTTAATTATAATTGAATAGTTTGTATTTTCTAAAGTATGCATTCTTGTTTTTTAAAGGGGGCTTCTGACCTCTTTCATTATCATTGTTTGAGATTCATCTATGAAGTTGCATGTATCAGTGGTTCCTCCTTTCTTATTTCTGAGTTGTTTGCTGTATAGATATGCCACAATTCATTAATCCATTTACTTCTTATGGACATTTGGGTTGTTTGCCAGGTTTTGGCTTTTACCAATAAAGTAGTTAGGAATACGTGTGTACAAGTTTTTACATGGATATGTGCTTTCATTTTTCTTGAGTACATACCTAAAAGTGGAATTTGGGTGTCAGATACATTTTTAAAATTTTAAGATGCTACCAAGCTATTTTCCAGAGTAGTTATACATTTTATAGTCCTAGCAGCAGTATGTTAGGTTTCCAATTGCTCTGGCCCTTTACTGGCACTTGGTGTGGTACGTCTTTTTAACCTTATCCATCTTAGCAGGTGTGTAATAGTTTTCTCTGATGACTAATGATCTTGATCATCTTTTCATGTGCTAATTTCCACCCATATGTCTTCTTTGATAAAATAACCTGTTTAAATCCTTATTTTCTTATTACTGAGTTTTTATATATACAGGATACAACTTTATCAATCAGAGATAAATCCAAGTTTTCCCAGTAGTTTGTATTTTTATTTTCCTAACAGAAACATTCAAAGGACAAAAGTTTTGTGATTTGGTAAAGTTCACATTGTTTTTTGTTTTTTCTGTATTGGGTTGTACCTTTCATGTTGTACTTAAGAAATAGTATTTGTTAGCTTTTGCGTTGCTGTGACCAAAATACCTGCAAGAATACCTTAAAGGAAGAGAAAGATTTATTTTAGCACACTGTTTTAGAGAATTCAGCCCATCATGACAGGGAGGCCATGACAGAGCCACGCAATTTATATTATGGCAGCCAAAAACCAAAGCGAGAGGAGGGGTCTGGGACCCAGAGTAACTCTCAAAGGCCCTAGTGACCTACCTCCTCCAGCTAGGCCTTCCTCCCAAGGTTTCCACAACCAGCTGGGACCTAAACTTTCGGCCTATAAGACTCTTGGGGACATTTCATTTTTAAACCATAACAGTCTGTCCCTGACTCCCAAAGGCTCCCGGCCATCTCATAATGCAAAATGCACTTAATTCATCTCCAGAGTCTTAACCCTTCCACCATTGTTCAAAAGTTCAAAATCAGAGTCTCGTCAGAGATTCAAGGCAAACTCTTATCTGTGATTCCCTATAAAATCAAAAAGAAAGTTACATACTTCTAAGGTACAGTGGCACAGAGTAAACATTTTCAATCCAAAAGGGAAAAATAGGAGAATTGCAAGTAAGACTGAAATCCAGCAGGGCCAAGTATTAAATCCTCCAGCTCTATGTCTGGCATCTTGGGCACAGTGTGGGAATATGATCTGAGCTCCAAAGGGCCTGGGTATCTGCCATTTGTAGCCCACATGATCTCTTTTGGGCTGGCTCCACTACATTGCCTGTGGCTTTCCTCATCATACATTCCACATTCTTGGCATCTCCAGCATCCTGAGGACTCTATTACAGCTTAGGTTTCATCGTCACAGCTTCATTATCACCCTCTCAGGCTGCCTTCAGGGATCCTAACCCTACCACATACCCCCAAGTCCTGCCTTTGAAATCTTGTAGGAAGCCTCCATTACTCTGTTAACTTGCATTCTGCACACCTGCAAAACCAGCATCTCGTGGATGGTGCCAAGGTCTGCTGCCAGCTGAAGCAGTATCTGGTTTCCATTGGACCATGGCTGCTGCAGCTTCTGAAAGCCTGGGTGGCTGAACTTGGGAATACACTTCCCTAGGCAGCCATATCTCTGCAGCTATCTCTTCTCAAGGGAAAGTCTTTCAAATAAGTTTACCCTCTCATATCCTTTGGCCTGCCTTGTGTGGGATCTGGTCAGTTCCTGAGATGTTTTCAAGGCACCTTTCCTACTGTCCCTGTGCAAAGTGTCTGGCTTCTTTTTAGTGGTGCTAATCTCTTTAATGACTACACCCTCCTTGTCCACAACTTTCATATCCTTTCTTGGCCAGACTGCGTGTTTTCAAATTCTTTTGCTCTCCTTTTTGCTCTAATTCTCAATATAAACCTAACTAAAATATCCATGCCACAGCCCAAATGCTATGCTGTCTTGAAATTTCCTCTACCCAATTAAATTGTCTTTTACTGTTAAGTTATGCCTCATGTAAAAATCTCAAGTCATGGACCAAATGTAGACAGGTTCTTTGCCAGAATGTAACATGAATGGCCTCTATTCTAATTCCTGATAAGAGTCCTCATTTCCACCTGAAACCTTATGAGCGTGGCCCTCACTATCTGCATTCCTATCTGTATTCCTATCTTCTGAGCTCCCACAAGAATTTCCCTTTAAGCTCTGCTTACAGCTTCCTAGTGCTTCTAGCCTGTGTCTCCTAACTTTTCTAATGTCCTCCCACAAACCAGTTCCAATGACATAAGAACCACACGGTTAGGTTTAATCTTAGCAAAGACCCCACTTCTCTGGTAACAATTTTGTGTGTTGGTTACTTTTGCTGTTACCAAAATACCTGACAGACACAAAGGAGGAGAGATTTATTTTAGCTATGGTTTCAGAGAATTCAGTCCATCATATTGGGAAGGGTGTGGCAGAGCAAAACAATTCATATCATGATGGCCAAGGACTGGGGACCCATTACCTTCAAAGGCAAGTCTGTAGTTACCTACTTCCTCTAGCAAGGCCCTAAAAAGTTTCCCTAACTTCCCAAAATAGCACCACCAGTGGGAACCAAGTCCTTCAAAACCTAGGCCTATCAGGGACATTTTCATATTCAAACTGTAACAGAAATCTTTTAACTCTGGGTCAGAAAGATTTTCTGTAACATTGTGTTCTAGAAGTTTTATATATTTTTTTAATTTTACATTTTTTTTAAATGGTGCTGTGCCTAGGAAGGCCTGAAGGTCTACGTTTGTCAATTCTTTTGGATGTCACACAATTTATTTTTTATTTTAGTTATCTGGTACTGGGGTTTGAACTTAGGGCTTTGCACTCTACTGCTTGAGCCATGCCTCCAGCCCTAAAATTTTACACTTTAAGTCTATAAAACACTTAAAGTTGATTCTTGTATTTGATGTTAAGTACAAGTTAAAGTTGATTTTCTGTTATGTGGATGTTTAACCATCATTTATTGAACAGACTATTGTCACTGTACATTCTTTAGCCCCTGTCAAAAGTCAACTAGTTGTCCATACATGTGTGGGTCTATTTCTAGGCTTTGATCTGTCCACTGATCTGTTTTGGTATGATGCCATACCATACTGTAATACAGGTCTGCTGGTTGTAGGGTTTTTTTTAGCTTTGCTTTTCTGAAAAAGTCTGTTTTTCCTTCATTTAAAAAAAATACTAGTGGTGGATTAAGAGTTAATCTTTCTTTTCAGTACATTAAATATGTTGCTTCTCTCTCTCTCTCTCTCCCCGTCTGTAGTACTGGGGCTTGAACTCAGGGTCTCATGCTTGCTAGGCAGGCACTCTACAACTTGAGCCACTCTTTTTTAGTGTTGGGAATTTTCAACATAGGGTCTCTTGAACTATTTGTCTGGGTTGCCTTCCAAACTGAATCCTCCTGATCTCTGGCTCCCAAGTTGCTAGAATTACAGGTGTGAGCCACCAGTTTACAGGCTGCTTCATTTTCTTGTGACTTGCATTATTTTTGAAGAGAAGTCTGCTATAACTTTTCTTTGTTCTTTTGCAGTGGGATTGTTTCCCTCCAGCTGCTTTTATGATTTTATAATTATTGCTAGTTTTAAACCATTTGATTATTGCAGTTATAATTTTCTTGTTTCTTGTGCTTAGGGTTTCTTAAACTTATTTGATCAAAAGCTTGCTATTTTCATCAAATATAGGAAATTTTCACCCATTATCTTTTCATGAATATTTCTTCTCATCATTTTGGAAATTCCAGTTATTTTTGGCTGTTGAAGTTCAATAATGCTTGGTTTTTTTTTTTCTTTTCTCTCTCTCTCTCTCTCTGTGATTCATTTTGACTCTCAAGGATCAGTGTTATTTGTTGCCAGATATCTATTATTTTGAAATGCTAATGTTTCGTGTATTTTGTCAAACATTTTAATTTTTCCATACAAGAGTAATCTGTTCCCTGCTACTCTGTATTCACCAGGAGAAGGAGTCTCTAAACTATTAATTACACAATTAATGTACACATGTATTTTTCTTATAAAAAGTTAGAACATTATGATTATAGCATGGGTTCCTGATGGTTCATCTTTTCTAATCTCATGTTTCTCTACCCCATCCCAGATATTAGCCTTTGTTCCTATATGTTACCTCCTAAGAATTTTTTGGTTTATAGGAGTTTTTGACTTTTAAGAGTTTGTTTTTGTTTCATTTAAACAGATATATAAAATATATACATATATTATTTTTGTAAATGTTTTCTTTTTGGTTAATTTCTTCTTAAATAGTTTCATTATTTTATCTCTGTTCTATAGGCAGCTAAGAAAGAGCATGCAGCTATCATTCTTTGGAATACTACATCTTGGAAACAGGTGCAGAATTTAGTTTTCCACAGTCTGACTGTCACGCAGATGGCCTTCTCACCTAATGACAAGTTCTTACTAGCTGTTTCCAGAGATCGAACCTGGTCATTGTGGAAAAGGCAGGATACAATCTCACCTGAATTTGGTAAAACAGGTTTTTTTTTTTTTTTGGTGGTACCTAGGGTGGAACTCAGGGACTCATACTTGCTAGGCAGGCATTCTACCACTTGTGCCACTCCCTCAGCCATTTTTGTGTGTGTGTGTGTGTGTGTGTGTGTGTGTGTGTGTGTGTGTGTGTGTGTGTGTTAGGGGTTTTTTTATGGTATTTTTTTTTTAAAGTCTTGCTCTTTTGTCTGGGCTGGCCTCAAACCCTGATCCTCCTGGTCTCTGCCTCTTAAGTAGCTAGAATTATAGGCATGAGCCACTGGTGCCCTGTGGTAAAACAGATTTTGATTGGGAAGATTAGTAGTGAAACAGTTATGTCCATTTTATTCATATTATATAGCTGTTGGGTTAAAAGAAATAGAAAGGTAATAGAGTGAAGACAGAGCCTCATGGCTGTGAAGCCTGTCACAGTTCTTGGATAACTGAGGATAATGATACAGGTGATCTTTGAGTTACTTTACCTTGTGGTTTGGTAGTCAGAATGGCATGTTTTCAGACCTCTCAGTTATGTAGACTGTAGGTAGAAAGTTAAATTTTGTAAATGATTACAGAGTGCTACTATAAAAACCAAATGAATGACATATTCTGAGCTAGGATTTTCTGGGAGTGTAAAAAAGAAAACTTGTAATTGTGTGGGTTCCTCCTTCTCTCTGAACTATTTTATAAATATGACACTTACAGGACCACTATCTTTAGCCTTTTTCTATCCTCCCCTATTTTATTGGGAAGGGCTTGTTAGGCATCTGCCCTTAAAAGAAAAGAGTGAAAGCTTTGTGTTGTTGCATCAGTGTCCTACTCTTATTTCTCCAGTTACTTTTAGTAGCTAAGTTCTAGAGAACATTTAAAGTGTAATTGTGTTAAGCCTGTTTTTATTTTCCATTGATACGACTTGCATACAATTTGATCTTGTGATATTTCTAGTCTTTTGACTTCTCATATTTCAGAAACACCAAAGAACTGTAAAACATGCTCAGGAGTATGTGTTAGAGTGAAGTCTGGTTGGTTTTGGAGGCACTGGAGTTTGAACTCAGGCCTCGTGCTTGCTACTCAGGCGCTCTACCACTTGAGCCTGCCATCAACTAAAGTATGTGTCAGAATACACTACAGACAGACCCTGAGTTAAGATGGTTTAACTTAAGGTGTTTCAACTTTCCAGTGGTACAAAAGTGATATTTATTTGGTAAAAACTGTACTTCAGATTTTGAATTTTGATTTTTTCTCTGTCTAGCCATATGGAGTACATTGAAACAACCAGTACTCCGCATTGCATTATTATAGTGTTTGGCATGTTGGGTGTATTAAATACATTTTTGACTTAATAGTGTTTTTAATTTTTGCTGGCTTTGTCTGGGCATAACACCATTGTAAGTTGAGGAACATCTGTGTTTTATTTTGCATCACTAGTGATTTCCTAACATGCAGCATTTATTTTTTAAGAGTTAAAGTGCTATTAATAGCGTATGTATTAATTTGTTGTATCTTTATGGATTATGTATTATTAAGCTTACTTCCCCTCTCTCCTTATAAGCAATTACATGCTATAGATTTAGCCAATATAAGGACTAGAAGATGCCTTATATTTAAATCTTAAAAGGAAAATATTTTCTTAAGTTACTTCCTTCCTTTCTTCCCTTCCTTCTCTTCTTTCTCCTCTCTCTTTCCCTATCTTCCTTTCTTCCTCTCTCCTTTCCTTTGTGTCTTTTGCTTTAGGCTTCTTTTCTTGACTATCTGGAAGCTGTTTGTTATCAGTCACTACAGAGTGACTAGTCAATATAAAAGCATCCCCTACTAGAAAAATAGCTATGAGTTCACAGGTTTCTGTGAGAGGTCAGTTGGCTGGCCTTAATCTATTGCAAAAGTGAGCATATATAAATCGATTCTTGAGTTGCATAATGTGTTTGGCACTTAAACAGAACTTTCTAACAGACAAAAGAAGCAGTTTGCTTTGCTTTGTGACTAGTGTGTACATATTGTTTTTCAGATCCAATTTTCAGTCTCTTTGCCTTCACTAACAAAATCACTTCTGTGCATAGTAGAATTATTTGGTCTTGTGATTGGAGTCCTGATAGCAAGTATTTCTTCACTGGAAGTCGAGACAAAAAGGTACTTTTTTAAACAACTTAATATTTTTTCAGCAAAAAAACCCAAAATCAGTTCTGAACTCCCTTCTTTGTTTTTTATATATGCACTTTTGCATATATATATTACATATTTTTCGTATATATTATGAAAATATATATAATCTATAACATATCTATTAAAAGGCTTTTCTTACTACAAACATATTTCTCTGAAATACTAAAAATGAAAACAGAAGACTTTTCAGACACATAACCTTCATCAAATAGCCCCAGTGGAAGAAAAGTTGTTCAGTGAAATGAATCAAGACCAAGAAATGAGGAGGGCAAGGGGAGAAGACAGGGTAGAAGAAGAAAAAGAATTTCTGTTTTTCTGATTCATACTTTCATGAACCTAAGCATTTTTCTATAATGAATGATTAATACTTTTTTATTCAATAATAGAAGACAGATGGAGTATGACCCAAGCTTAAAGAAGTCAAAACAAAGTTTGGTTTTGAACAAAGTCATGACCTTCATCCTTGTTCCTGTGAGAAGTTTTCACAGGTCCCTGTTCTTTCCTCTGTGTCATACCCTAAAATGTCCTCACGTTTTTCTGTAGGTCCTATAGATCAGTGTTTAAAAGGCACCTTAGTATTTCTTTTCCTCTCTTTGCCCTTTCTATTCATAGACATGGTACAGATTGCTGAAGCGGAGAGCTGTTAGGGTATGGTTGAACACCAGTGCCATCCTCGCAAGCATCTTTCTCTCAAACCATCACTTTTGTTTACTTGCCTATTCATTTCTTTCCTGGCCTTGATTTTCCTATGCTGTGCTGGATGCTAAGAGAGTGGGACTGCTTCTGCCCTCCACAGCCACACCCAGTAAAGGGTAGCCTAGCCACAGCTCTTGGGATATGTCAAGGCTGACATAGGCCAAGCAGCCTTGGCTGTACATTCCCAGAAACAAATGTGTTGCTTGCTTAGAGCCTTCTGCTCAGAATCCTTCTTTGGTTTGCATTTTACAATTGACCATTTTACTTCCCTTTCCTTTGTTTTGTGAACAGTCACATACCCTGAGGCATGAGCTTCTGGGGTGGCCTCATGTCTCATTTGGGCATAGAGCATGAGGCTTTCCTGATAGCTGAGTTGGTTCCCTGATCAGTGGGCCATGTAGACTTGGTTGGTCTCTATAAATTTTGTGGTGCCTCCTCAGGAGGTATATATGCCCCTCAGTGAGGACATGTCTGATGGAATTCTACTGGATCACACCGGTTTGTGTGTGTATAGAGCATTGAAACACTACAGTTCTGAAGTGTCATAAATAGCTGTAAGTGCTGTGGTTTTAAAAATAATCAGAGAAAATATTTTTCATAATCTATGTCAGTAGAACTCTGCTACATTGCTTGAAATGTAAAAAGAGAGCTTTACAAATTGTGATCTGTCTGTTAGGTGGTTGTCTGGGGTGAGTGTGACTCCAGCGATGACTGCATCGAACACAGCATTGGTCCCTGCTCCTCAGTCCTGGATGTGGGTGGGGCCGTGACAGCTGTCAGTGTCTGCCCAGTGCTTAACTCTTCCCAACGGTCAGTCTCTGTGTAGGACTTGGTTTTGTTTCCTTGAAAAGGACTACTTGTTTTCTCAATGTCATTTCCATTCCTTGGTTCTCTTTTGAGTTGCTGTTGTTTCCAAAATGCATGTATCTCATAAGAATTTTAAAATTGATAGATATCAATGATTCAGATTGGTAAAATACATGTTAGGAATATGACTCTGGAGGTTCTTACTTTGTCAGCTACAGGACTGCAGTGATTTTTCTGTAAAATGTCACTGTGGTAGACCAGGGGTCCCTGCAAGCCAGCTTGAAAACACTGACTCATGGCTGAGAACTGAGGTCAGCCTGTGCTCCCTTTGTAGATAAGAGGCTCTCTGAGGACACAGTGGAACAATGCAGTGTGTCCTTGGCTGGCACCTTTAAATAGGGTTGGTTGGTACACTATGAAGACCTACTGTAGAGAAACAATGGAGATAATGCAAATTTGTGCTGAATTACTCACTGTTGTTCCCCTCCCTTCAACACAGATATGTGGTTGCAGTTGGATTAGAGTGTGGAAAGATTTGCTTATATACCTGGAAAAAGACTGATCAAGTGCCAGAAATAAATGACTGGAACCGCTGTGTAGAAACAAGCTCAAGGTATTTTCTTCCCATTTTTGCTTCCATCAGATTAGATCAGATAGAAATTGTGGGATCTTTACTGGCAAATTTTATGACACATTTTCAAGGATAGGAACATAAATCTCTATCTATGGTGCTTATTACTGAGTACCTCTTAAAATCAATGTTTGTTATTATGTTGGACTTTGTTTTTAGTTTGCTTGACCAACTTGTTTATTTCATGATAGTGTTTTTACAAACAACCATTTGAGACAAAGGTAGTTTTTATAATGTGTTTTAGAATTTAACTATAATTGATTATTAATAAGACTTTATTCAAAATGGTTATGATATTTGGAAATAATATAGATTGTGCTTTAGTAGCCTTATCTTTGTAATTGAACACTTTATCTCAGATACCCCGGTGGAACAAATTGCTGGGCCCTAAAGCCCCGTGACGGCTTTCAGCCACAGCAAAGTGCTTCCTGAGTCTTATGCCCTGGGCACTGACCTTTGCCACCTGAGCTCCAGTAGAATACCTGCTGTTTACAATCTTCTCCCCATTCCAGCTGCCTAAATAAACTTTTTACCCATACTATTCTTTAAGAATGTCTAACCTTTCAGTAAGTCACTAATATCATTCCATGTCATGTTTTCATAGACTTCTTCAGTCTTCTTATATCTGTACTGTTACAAATATAATTTCAAGTACAATTCCAAATGACAGAATTATGATGAGGGTGAATGGCTTAATGGAGAGAGATTTATGAGCATGTATTTTTACAAGCTACTTTATCTAGCAGTGCTAGTCTCTCTATCAGCTAGGCATGTTAGTACACTGTATAATTGTATTTGTTAAAATCAGGTTTTGCCTTTATCGCTGCAGCCCTCATGGCTTCACTTCTGTGGTACTGGGTTTAGCAGTTGGAATAGTTTGTGCTACTGACTTGCTAAAGAGGGATGAAATTTCATATGCCCAGCATTTGAAATTTTTCTCTTCCTGGGGCTCCTCTTGCTTCTCTTTTTCTACTTTTTATGTTGTCTGTGTGCACGCAGTGCTTGCTCTGCCTCTAACCTGGTACCCAGACCACTTCCATGGCCTCAACATGAGACCCGGCAGAAAGCCTATTGGAGTGTAGAAAGAGGACATGTAAAAGAATTTGGATTTTTCTTTTTTTTTTCCTTGTCATTATAGTGATTTAAGATTTACTGACTTAACACATTATTTGGATTGCTGATATTCCTGTTTTTTGTTTTGTTTTGTTTTTATTGCAGTACAGGAGTCTCAGGCTTGCTATGCAAGTACTGTACCACTTGAGCCATGTCCCCAGCCCCAAATTACAAGTTTTTGCTAGTGAAGAGATTTCATAGAAAATAAAAGTAAAAATAAGCACCGCCTTTAAGATTGGCTTCTCCAAACTCCGTATCTTTTATTTTATTCATTTGTTTATTTTGTGTGTGTGTGGTGCTAAGGGTTTAACCAGGGCCTCAAGCATACTAGAAGAGCACCACTGAGCTACACCCCAGCCCTCCATGTTTTAAACATGATGTATGAACGTGCTAGATTTAAAGGAAAATACCAAAAGAAAAATCCTATAACAAAAAGGAAACCTGTCATCTTACATATACAAATAAGTACTGGTCCTCAAAATAATTCCCCTGCAAGAAATATTGTATATATATATTTGTTTCAGTAATACCACTACTTCAAATGTTGTTTAATGAAATGAGAGAACTTTAATATGGATCAATGATAAACAAGCTTCCTATGATATTGCTGTCCCTTAAAATGTTTCTGGAACTCTCTATAGGAATTCTGTTCAGAACTATATAACCAATTATAATACCTTTTTCATAGTACTGCTCAGTTTGATATTTTCATTTTTTAAGATTGCCATTCATATTATAAAGGTTGGGATTCATATTTAAGCCTACCGTATATATGTATTTATACTCACCTCCAGATGACTCTAGGCTGCTTTCATTAATCAAATTCATCCTCCAAGGAAGATGAGTTCTTATTATAAGTATTCAAGGCATAATCTGCATAACACGGAAGCATTTCCTTTAGCATTGCAGAAAACATCAAGGGAGGCACAGCACCATTGTTGGAGCATCCACTTCTGCAGAACTCACAGTCATCTGGTTGTATAGGTGCCATTGAGCTAGTTTTTAAAATGCCTTTCATTACTTTAAAGTAATTTCTGCTTTGGTATTGTTTTCAATGTTTACTGTCTTAAACCTACTTAAGGTTTTTACTTTATTTCATTTTGGTTTAGGGATGTATTTTGCAGGTTAAATTTATAGAGGATGTAGTATTTTGTGGATATTTATTACTAATCTTGGTTGATAACAGTCTAGGTCTGTCTTTTGGGGGGATGCCTGGGTAAGAGGGAGCATTAGTATTGGTCGTCTTGCCCAACATCATGCAGTTTAAACCCTGATGACCAAGGTTCTTACTATGCAGCTAATTAGCATTTTCATTGTCTTTCTTTACCTAGGAGTTAATATGTAAAATAAGGCTCATCCATTTCATAGGGGTGTCAAAAATTAATCTATAATAAAGTACACTTATCTGAAAAACTGGATTTAATAGTCATTTCATGAATTCTGCTGATCATTAAAACAAGATTTGACAGAAATTCATTGTCTATTTCTTGCTCTTTTTGATGGTGTTAGAATCCAGTAAGTAAAATGTTTAGTCTAACAATTTTAAAAGTAAATAGAGTAAGATATTTTCCGAGTTAAAATAAAACTGTTAAAAGATTATGATGGATGATATTTAAAAGCCAGAACATTTTAACTTGTCAGGTTTTACTTCTATCCATGTTTATAACACTAATAAGAGTATACTAATTAACTCTGTAGGTGAATATCCAGTAAAATATTTTGTAGTTGTGCCATACATTAATTCTTTGACTCTCTATCTTGGTTTTAGCCAAAGTCATACACTTGCTATCAAAAAATTGTGCTGGAAGAATTGTAACGGAAAAGCTGAACAGAGTGAAGAAGGTGCTGAATGTCTACACTTTGCAAGTTGTGGTGAAGATCACACTGTGAAGATATACAGAGTTAATAGATGTGCACTGTAATGGACTTAGTAACTGCACGCCTACAGTCATGGGTGTCTTAAAATGCTTATGTGAAGGAACTACCTTCTTCACTTTCACAGTGAATTTAGTCTCATCTTTAAGTCAGATTGCAGTGGTCCGTATTTTGTTCCTAGGCCCTTTGAAACCCTATGAATGCTCGAGTCTTTTCCTTGTTATATAATTTATGCACATATACCCAGAATCTTGCTCATCCTTTCAGAGATTCTTAGATTTGCCTCTCTGTGTTCCAGAATAAGAGCCTGTGTTCCTTCTTCGTGACCAGTTTGCTTGATTTTGTGTTGTTTTGGACCTTTTCATTTGCCCTCTTACTCTGTTTTGTGTTACTATAACAGAATGCCTGAGGCTGAGTATTTTGAAGAAAATAAGTTTATTAAGCTCATACTTCAGGGGATGGGGGGTTTGTCTTGATTTCAAGAGTATGGCCCTGGCATCTGCTTGGCTCTGTGAGGGCCTCATGGCAAATGAAGTGTCAGTGGTGGGAGCATATATGAAAGAGGAAGGTCACATGGTGAGATTGGAAGTAAGAGAGATTCAGGGAAGGTGCCGTATTCACTTACAACAGCCTGCTCTTGTGAGAGTGTGCTTCATTAGAATAGCAGTATTCCCCCAATGAAGGCTTGGTTCACCTCCCGCTAGTTCCCACTTCCTAAAAATATCACTCACTACCTTTCAGCATCACCACACTGGGGACCAAGCGTCCAACACATTGAACCTTGGAAGGACGCACTCAAACTATCTCCAAACCATAGAATTCTCTTTGAGACTTTTCATTATTTATTACCCTCTTCAGATGGTGAATATAGAAAATAAAGATAGGAAACCCAGATTATTCTATTTTTATTTTAGCATTCTTTGTAAACATACCACACCCAGTATGCTAACTATCTAGGATCCTACTTTCCAGAGTATGCCAATTATTCTAGAAATTTGACCTTAGTTTGAAGTACAGCCAATCCTTTATTCTATAAAGGCATATATATTCTTCTGGAGGTTTACTTAAAGTACAGTAACCTTAAACTTAAAATGATAGATTTGGATGCTGAATAAGTTCTGAAACATCTGAATTTATGTGACAGTTGAAGTCACGAGTGCAGGGTGTGTGTCCCCCTGGGAGATTGCAGAGGGATGGACAGGGTGCTGTAAACACCTGTTTATATTGGGAGTGCCGGCTGAGGGTCAGCTGCAGTTCAGGGAAGATGTAAGAGAATGCTGTGAGAGCAGCATTTTCCCAGCCCAGTAGACACAGACACATCTGGCAAATTGAATATGCTGCAAGAAGGAAGGTACAAGTTTTCTTGGTGGGAGTTTATACCCTTGTTTAGCATATTTTGCTTCCAAAGGAATTTAGTCATGCTTTCTAGATGAATAGACCAGTGCTATACAATATTTCTAATATAACAGTGTGAGGTACATAAAAATTTAAATTTTTAGTAGCCAAATAATAAAAGGAAACGGTTGAAATTTTAATGGCATATTTTCTTTAATAGAACATATCCAAAATATTATATCACCATTTTATTAGCCCTCTGTCTGTGGGGTCCACATCCATGGATTGAAACTGAACAACCATAGATTGAAAATATTTGGATGAGGGAACTGGCAGAGTGGCTCAAGTTTAACCCCTAGTACCACCAATAATACATATATATATTTTGGGGGAAAAAATGCATCTCTGCTGAATGTGTGCAGACTTGTTTTTCTTATAATTATTTTCTGAAAAGTAAAATACAACAACTATTTACATAGTGTTTAGGTTGTATTAGTTATTATAAGAAATAGGAGGTTTGTATGTAAATACTGTACCATTTTATGTAAAGTTTTGGGTATCCTTGGATTTTGGTATCTGCCAGAGTCTGGAATGAATCTCTCACATATCCTAAAATCATTACCAAAAATCCATTGGCATATGCCATATATAATTGAGTTGGTTATACTTAGAGCCTGCTTCTGTCCAGACTAGCCACATTTCAAGTCTCCATAGCCACATGTGACTAACTGACCATCCATTTTCCTAGACTATTGCATCCTCTACAGACTTGTTTCATGCCCTCAGCTGGGTTGTGAGCCTGGGGGCACAAAGTAGTGAGCCTCTGAGCTCCCAGTCTCAGACTAGAACACCCTGCCCTGAGGTCCTGTCTCCCTGTCATCTCCTGAGGAATACCTGCATTGACACAGGGTTTTGCTGACCCCAATGCATGCAGGATTCCAGAGCAGAATAAGGCCACTAATTTAGTCCTTTAGAACTCAACCCCCTGAAAGCTGACCTTGCTTTGGAGAGACTGAGTTCCCAAGCTGACAATTTTCCAAAGTTGTCCTGAAGCTGCTTCTTCAGTAATCACTTGTGCCATTCAGAGATCATGGCAGAGATCTTGCCATGCATGTGAACAGTCTTCATTGTAACTTGTATGTGTTACCATTCATGTCTTAATCTGCTGGTGTGCACTCTTTGAATCATACTGCAGTAATTCATAATGTGTAAAGTGAAAACAGAATTTGCGAGCTTCACTCCAGAGGAGCTGAGGTGTATTCCAGAAACCCCAGTCTGTCTTTCCCTTTCCCCTCTCATTTCTCTGCTTGGTTCTCAGCCCATTTCAGATTAGCATTTGCTGTTTTCTGACCTATACTGCTTTCTTGGAGAAGAGGTAATTGGATTCTTCTCAGAATATGTTTGTCTGGAATGATCAGGTGCCAGATCACTAGTGTCTTCTCAGTAACCTCAAACAAGATTGCAGTTGGGTATTAATTCGGAAGGGAGGATATGGGAACTGGAAAGAGACTGGGCAAATCAGGCATCAACCTGATTTGAAAGCACAACCATTCTACCTTTTAGAAACCCTGGCAACTTTAGCAAATCTAGGTTGTCTGTAAGAGACCTTCCATTGCTGACCTGCTAAATCTCTGCCTGCTGAGCTACATCTGTGGTTTAAAAGTAGAAAGGAAGCTGGGCAATAAAACCAGCCCCAGGCAAATAGTTCAAGAGATCTCGTCTCGAAGATAGCCAACACAAGAAAGGGCTGGTAGAGTGGCTCAAGTGGTAGAGTTCCTGCCTTGCAAACCTGAAGTCCTGAGTTCAAACCCTAGTACCATCAATAAATGAATAAATGTAGAAGGTGAGAGACAGCGTCAGAATGACACCTGTGCAGTTCTTAAACTTTTGAGTTTAAGAGTTATCAAAGTCACCTGGCAGGCTGGTTAAAAACTGATTGCTGGGCCTCTGCCCCAGAGTTTTACATTCAGCATGAAGATGGGGGCCCTAAGACTTTGCATTTCTTACAAGTTCCGTGTAATGCAAGTGACCGCAGACTGGTGGCATCATCAACATCGCAGGACAGCATGGTAATTCTCAGGCCTCAATTCACATCTAGTAAATATTGATCCCAGCAGTATGCCTGGGAACCTTTCAGCAGACCCCAGGTGATTGTGATGTACCTTCAAGCTTGAGCAGCACTACGACACAGCTAGTCTTTGGCTACAGTGGGTTATGTCATGTGAGGACTACCACAAGTTGTGTGACTCCTGTGGCTGGTAGTCACTGTCCTCTGGAATCTTTCCCCACAGGAGGCTTTTAACCTTTTTCATATAATACTACTTGTAACTGGCCCAATGACATAGAATCCCCACGGCAAAAGGCTTCATGGACATTGGCAGATTAGTTGGGGCAGGGGGCTCTGTATCTGCTCTGTTGCTGGTGGTACCCTGACTTCATGTGGGCCTTACCCTGCTTCACTGAACTTAGCTCGTCTCCATGATGATCTGCTGATGATCTTCTGATTTCATGAGATATAAGGTTGTGAATTTAAACTTCTCTAGCGACACAGACCACATCTAAGGGGACAGGCTCTTGAGAGCCAGCCAGTGGCTTCCTGGGAAGGGAACCTTGCTGGATGTAAGGACAGCTTCCAGGCCACCTGTTGTCAGCATTGGGTGAGCTAGTCACATTAATTGCAGGATTTAAACTCAATATTAAAATCAGGACAAAGACCAGAGAAGAAACTGGCCGTGACAAAATGGGTTTCTTGGAGGGTTGAGCTCAGGGAGGTGGTTACAAGAAAGCCAGGATCACAGCAGATGTTTTTGGTGGAGGACTACTGAAGACCACAGTCACCCAAGACGGGGGAGGTGTGGGCCTGCTCTAGGCAAGATGGCCAAGCAAATGTCTATTATGCAGCCCTTGCTACCCTAGGCTACTCAATGGTTGTTGTGATGGTTTGTTTTATCTTAACCAAAATGATACAATCACAATGAGCCCTTTTGTATCTCTCAGAAAGTATTCTGAGTGTGCTTTTGAAGCCACCTTGCTCATTTCTATGGTAGTTCAAAATGACCTTGAAAAAAACAAATATTGAATTCTAGTCATTGATGTATATACTGGTGTTTGGGGGACTTTTACTGAGGTCTGCAATTTCCTTTGAAATACTTTAAAAAATACAATCCATGAGTTGAAGGATAGGCATATAGACAGATGAGATGAAGCAAGCACTGTAAAATACTAAAGGGAGTTTTGTACACCCATATTCACAGCAGTATTTTTCATAAATAGCCAAGAAGTGGAAGCAGTAAAAGGGTCCATCAGTGCATGGATAGATCAACGGAATGTGTTATATACTTACAATGGAATATTATACCAGCCTTCAAAAGGAGGGAAATTTGATATGACGTGGAAAATGCTAAAACATGGATAAACCTAGAGGATGAAAAAGTTCTGGAAATTGCGTGATAGTATGAATATACTGAACTGTACATTTAATGGTTAAGATGGTTAACATTGTATTTTACCACAAGTTTTTTTTGGTGGGACAGGCTAGGGTTTTGAACTCAGGGCTTCACGCTTGCAAAGCAGGTGCCCTACCACTTGAGCCATACCTCCAGTCCATTTTGATCTGGTTAATTTGAAGATGTGTTGTCTTGAACCATTTGCCTGGACTGGCCTCAAACCTTAGTCCTCCCAATCTCAGCCTCTCAAGTACCTAGGATATAGGTGTGAGCCACTAGCATTGAGTTACTTTACCACCATTTAAAAAAACATTCTGAGAAACACCATTTCCCAGGGTGTTAATCATGCATTAAAAAAAGTGTCCTGAAGCAAAACATATTTAGAAAACACTGGGCTAAACAAAGTTAGATATCTTCAAGCAGGGGATTAGGAGTCATTATACTATCCTTTATATATACTTTAAATTTTCTCTGTAAAGTTTTTTAAATGAAAAAGGGAATGGCTAGGAATATCCATAAATGCAATACAAAGGTATTACTTTATAAGGGCTCCCTCTCACCATGTGAGAAGTGGTGGACCACCCAGTAGGAAGCCTCTGATATGTGTAAATGAACAGCAAGGACCAGGAGGTGTCCCCAGAGGACCTCCTGGGGTCAGGAGGGAGAGAGAGTTGGGTGGCTGTATTTGCATGGTGGCTATGAAACATGGTAGGGACCCACCACTCCACGGGCCACTGGAACAGCAGTTAAGCATTATTAAATATTTAAACATTATTAAATACTACTAAAGTACTGTTACTGATAAGTCTTTGTTGTAAGCATCCTTTGAAAGTTTTTTTTTTTTTTTTAAATGTGCTAAGATGTTGGGGGCTGGGGAAACTTAACTTTCTGACAGCTGCTAGACCCTTCTGGGACACAGCAGCTTTAAAGGACAGCCAGCCAGGCAGTTGGACTATGCTTGTCCCAAACTCAAAGCATGACTTCAGCTCCAGAAGGCATTGCCCCAACAAACAGCTTGTATTTTAACCCAAAATTTTGTGTCTGGTGCAAAAACAATTCTTCATTTGTATAATGGCTATACTAGGATTGATGCAAGCATAGTGGATGTGGTTGGTGCAGACACCTTTATCCACACCACCTTCTGGCTGTATAAGCAGATGCTTAACTCGCTTTGTGACCAGCTCGGAGACACCTTCCTTGTTTCCCTTCTGATATTATGATGTTGGGTCCCAATAAAGATTCTCTTGAGTGCTCTTACCCACCTGTGCTGAACTGGTAAAGTGAGGGAGCAGTGGTGGCAGGGAGGAGGCTGCCCTGGCAGTAAGACCAGCAAGCTGAGCAGCCTGGGCAGGACTGACAGGAGTGGAGGAGGCACCAAGTGGCTGGCAGTAAGGAATATCACAGAGCGGTGAAGAGTTGTAACATTTAAGGCCTTGGGTCACCCGATGGGACTGGCTGGCAGAGACACACACCCCTGAGCTCCCTCTCCCCAGCAGCAGCTGTCACTTAGGGCCCTGAAACCAGTACCCCTTACCTAGCCTTCATGGGTTCTGGCCTAAACCATGTGTCACTACCCTAGCTGTCAAACACCACCCTAGTTGTCAAAGGCCCAGGGCTGACTGCCACTATCCACTGTCATCCATTTCACCACCTACAAATACCAACAAGAGGGCTGGAAGCATGGGTTATGTGGAAGAGCACCTGCCTAGCAAGTGCGAGGCCCCAAGTTCAAAC